TGGTGGCAGGTGCAAAACTGTTGGAGACACCCTATTTAAATGATGGTTTTGCGCGTTTTGTGGTTTGCGGCAAAGTAGTTTGTAGTTTGTACAAACTAGTGCATTAAGAATTTTAAATCTTACAGTGACCCCCCCCCAAAAAAAAAAATAAAAAAAAAAATAAAAAAATTATATATATATATATATATATATATATATATATATATATATATATATATAAAGAAAAAACTTTGGCAACCTTTATTCCCTAAGGTGGTATGTGGCTGAATTTCTACTTCACTGCAGTAAAAAAAAACAAAAAAACTGGTGTTTTGTATTGGCCTGTAGAAAAATGCACATACCAAATAGCTCACAAGAAGTGACTGTGAATGAGATTACTGCGCGTACGCATCCACGCAGCATTGGCATGTTGCTCCACAGGCGCAGGGGGGAGGTAGGGCGTCAGGGCGACATGGCATTTAGAACGTCGGACAGCACTTCTGAAAAACGAGATTGGGAGATCCCAGCTCTCGCTGCAACCGTACGCTGGAATGACCCAGATGCAAAAAAGTGCAATGTTGCAAGGAGTTTTGTGATAAGGGCTTGGTCCTCATGACGTAAGCACTTTGCGTCGCCGCCATGTTGAATGCCTCTTTTACCGCGGCTCAGACTACTGCCTATGACTACCGCGTACTGTACTCCCTCTCAGCCGTGTTTTAATTTGATTAATTTCACCTTAACTTGATTTCAACCATGGTTAACCGTTGCTGTATTGTGGGCTGTAACCATGGGAAAAACATAGAAAATGGGTTAACTTTCCACCGCTTTCCTGCCTGGAGGCGTAACCATGGATACCAAGCGTCAGAGATAAAGAGTCGTCGGCTAGCTTGGATCGCGGCTGTAAGACGACCGAACATAACTTTCCACAGTATTCCAATGTCATTGAGAGTGTGTTCCCTGCATTTTCATTCTGGTAAGTTAAAGATGCACGGTTTTATTTTATAGCCTACTTTGTTTCTTTCCTTCAAAGTTGGGATCTTTTACGGGAAAATAATAAAAACGGCAGCGGGAAAAGGCTCAAATACGTGAGAAACCCGGAGGGTTGGCAGTTAACGTTACTAACTACACCTTTGAAACACATAGCAGCTAGTTTAAAGTACATTACATGCGTGAGTGGTTGTTAGCATTAGCGGTTAGCAGTTACTAAACTAGCAGGTTCCAGAGCCCGTCTGATTACAGCTTACCTTCGTACGGATTACTGTGTTCCCACTGTTTGCTGGCTTTATGATGTGCAGCTCCTAAACCCATCCATTCATGAACTGCATATGAGACTCCAAGGACTTGTAGCTTGGAACTGTTTTGAAGTATAGGCGCTCACTCATCGGTGCTCCACTCATTGTTTGGAACTTCATATGGATCCAAATGATTAATAATGCTGATTTTGTCAACATACCGGTCCGTGGCTTCTCTATTTAATGTGTCCCGGTAAATTCCAGATCCTTTTCGGGATTTTAACATCTTTTTTCTCTCTACTTCTGTCTCTTCTTTCAACAACAACGTTGTATCAGAGCTATGTTTACGTTTGCGTAGCAGTCAAAATGGCTGCGACGTCCCACAATGCAACGTGGATCCCGAGCCCTATTGCGTGGGTCCTCCTTGTGGCTGGCTCCAAATCCATTCGGAGTTCCCCCAACAGCTCCAAAATGGCAATGCTGGATAAACGATATGTTTTGATGATCGTTTCCTCGTTCATTCCAAAAATATTCACACGGAGTGAAAAAATACGTTTTCTGCGTCTCCTTGCTTCATTTCGATGTCTCCTTCTTGCGACAATAACCGCTGCCATGTGTGCGCTATTACGCATACAGACCATTTGCACCTTCTTTTGAAACATGTTAAATATAGTCAGATACTAGTGATGGGTCGGGCAACACCGATGCGTCGGCGCATGTGTCTGTCTCATAGAGCGAAACCTGTGTCGACGTGTGTATCGCTACGGAAAAGTCACGTGACCGAAACAGTTTCCGTATCGGTCACGTGACCGATGTTTCGAACTGATTGACAAGCCTTTATAAGGATGCGCATCTGCCAACGAGATGCATCTGCCAAAACAATCTTGCGTGTTTTGCGAATATAAAATTCATCAAAAATTATGGAGCTTCCTCAAGCAAAAAGAAAGGTTTCTGCCGTGTGGGACCACTTTGATGTCATTTCGGAAAATAAGGTATTTGTTTTAATTTCCTTGTTTCATCCTGTTCCTCTCAGAGTTTCCACTTGATTCATGTACTAAAATACTATTTTTTTTTTTAAGATGACCTTTGGGAACATTTTGATCTCGAAGTGGGGAGGCAGACCAAAAGTGCCACAGCTGATGCCATCCTTGAGGTGCAGAGATACATGGCAGAGGGCAATATTGCGAGGTCCCAGGATCCTCTTGTATATTGGAAAAACTAAAGGACGGTTTATCCAAACCTCTTCCGCCTGGCCTTAAAATTTTTGTGCACTCCAGCTTCATCTGTGCCGTGTGAGCGGGTGTTTTCCACAGCTGGAGAACTAATATCAAAAAAGCGCAACAGACTGAATTTCAAAACTTATTTTTTTTAATAAAAATTTGTAAAAAAAAAATACCAGTGAACAAGCATCTTCATTTACTACATGTTTACTTAGACTTAGACTTAACTTTATTAATCCCTTGGGATTACTCCCTTCGGGAAATTGTATTTCCAGTAGCAGGAAAAATTGCACATACAAAAAAATAGAGGATGTTTAGACACAGTATATACAATAGAAAAATAAAATCAATTAAATAAGGTGTAGGAAGATGTATTGGGGGATGAGGATAGACAAATAAATACAGATTAGAGATTATTAAATTATGATGCAGGTTCTCATTATTCATTGACTGTTTCTAAAATATCAAATATGTTTTAATAATAATACAATGCATCATACAATGAATTGCATCATATTAGTGTATATAATAGGTCATCAAATCAGTGTCAGTTAACTCTGTCAACTAGGTTGCCAGTAGGGATTTTTAATGTCCAGCAGGTGTCAGTATTCAGTGACACAGTATCAATACAGTTTGGTAATGTGTCGAAACGTTTCATGACGCCTCATCAACCCATCACTATCAGATACCGTTAGCAAAATTGCTTTCAGGTTTAATAAATCACTTTGCGAGTGCTAAATTAATATATTTACATGTTCTCCTCCTACAAGACGCACTTTTGCGTGTAAACGCCCCATATTGCATATTCATTGCAGAAAAAGTACTAAATGGATAGGCGCTATTTAGCACGTTTTAAAGACCAAATCCTTTTAGCACGCTGTTGATAGATCAGTTTGTACATTTTTAGCGTGCGCAGTGAAATAGCTCACGTTTTTATACACGCAAACCTTTGATAGATCCGGCCCTGTGTGTGTACAAAATTACAATGAATTTTGTCTATGTCTTCCAATTTCTGCCCGTCCGTGGTTTCCATGACCTGGATGACTGAGAATTTACACAGGTATATTTTATTGAAGACAAAAACACAAGAAAAGGGAACGTTTTTGATTTGTTAGCTGGATCTTATCAATAATTTTACCTCTGCTGTCGTTATGGTCACCCGTTGCTGTGTCGTAGGGTGTAGTAGCGCAAGCTGTGACTCGACGGGGGAAAAAATCCTAAATGGATTGTCTTTTTACCGTTTTCCAACCTGGAGGCGTCTCAATGGAAAACAAATGTCCTCCATAACAAAGAGTCGCCGGCTAGCATGGGTCGCTGCTGTAAGACGGCCAAATATAACTTTCAACTCAATCCCAGTGTCCATGAGAGTGTGTTCCCGGCATTTTCATTCTGGTAAGTTACAGAACATACATACAACATAGTACCATGGTAGGACAGTCATATATCATCAGAATGTAACTACAGTATCCCAGGACACGTACAGTCAGCACAAGATTTGTTTAGATACATTTTTGATGTTTTACGTTAGTGCCTGCACCTAGTCTTACCACCACAACAAACACCACACCATGTTGAGACGGTAGCTTACCTTGGATCTAATGACTGTGTTCTCATTCGGTTTGATTACTTCCATGTCGTGAACTTTTCCATCTGTCAGCTGTTTGTAAGCCTCTAGCGACTTGTAGCAGCGAAATTCTTCATGTGTGTAGGCACTGACGCCACACACTAGATAGGAAAATATGTCCTCCCTCGCAAACGGCGGTAGAAATTCTTCCCCAACGCACCACTCCTTGCTTGCTACTTCGTAGGGATCAAGTCCGTTTATGAAGCCCATCTTTTGCAGATAACGGTCCCTGGCTTCCCTCTGCAGTGTGTCTCGGTATATTCCGCATCCTTTCTTCGCTTTTAACATCGCTGTTTACTCGTCTCTGTGCTGTTTTAGGTCTTTGTTTACCGTAGCAACTAGCTGTCAATATGGCGGCGTACCCAGAATGCAACGCGCTGTGCCCGTCCCCTATTAAAAAACGTATTAGTGGATTTCATAGGGGGAAAAAATTACCTGCATCCAAAGGAACAAATTATTTAAATTTGGTAATGAACCAAATCATATGCAACTTCACAATTTGGGGCAAAATCTGCTGGCTATGCTTCTAGTTTCTATTCTGTTTTTTGTTTATTTGTTTGTTTTTGGACATTTAATGTTTTTAAATCTATATTCATTGATATTTATTGCACTCCGAATAAATTCAATAAATTACTGTGAAATGTAATTGTTACTCTGCATTGAGTAACTTGCTGGTGATGTTTGTAATTTATCATTTTTAAGAATAATTTAAAAAAATTCTAGTTGATCTATTTCTACAGCGGATATCGGCCCTCTTCTCCATTCAATCGCGTATGGTGCGTTCCTGTAAGTGGGAAGATTTGTTTTAGTTATGAGAAAAAACATCTTAAACCTTTGCATTCAGCTACTTGATCCTTCATCTAACCACATTAAATATGTGTTTAAACCCTCGTTTATTATTTTTTTAATCAATAACAATTACTTGAAAGTATCATAATGCAGAGACTTTATTTTCCGAAGTACGTGAACGCAACATTGAGGTTAGCTCGTGGCCAACGCCGCAATGGACAATGGTCCATGTTTGTGCTCTACTGTCACGCTGGAGGAAAACGGACTAACGGTTTGTGACAGTTCTTGCACGGATGATGAATTGGTGGACGCTTTTGGAGACCTGACTGCCCTCCCGGTTGAAGTTGAGGAAAGAAGACCGACCTGTTTACGCTGCCGGTGAGCTAAATGAATGCTAAGCTAAGCTAGCTAGCCGATGTGTTACAGCACTCCGAACGAGAAGCTAACCTAAAAAAACAAAGAAAATAAAGTCTGCCTCTTATTCACGCTCGTGCGTCTGGCATGTTTTAATGAGGGTACAGATTCATATCGTTTCAGAAAGCTGAAGACCAGCTGAAAACAGAGAGATGGGGGCTGTAGACGGGGAAATAACTGGGATATCTCAGCTTCACGTCTTCAACTTTCCTCCCATATAGTCGCCCTCAGAAGGTGTGTCTCTGTCCCTTTCTTCCTCAACAACCACTGGAGGTGTCCACATGTCTGTACGTAGTGCAGCACCCTGCAGAGGTGAGTGGGTTAATCTAACATGGATGCGTTCAATGACTTTAGTAATTTTGTTCACATTCTAAATATAAGGTATTGCATTCTGAAGTGTTCATCTTTTGATTCTGTGAGGATGCAAGCGTTGCCAAATGCTTTGCATAAAAATATTTGTAAACCAGGGCTGCAACTATCCCTTATTTTGCAAATTAATCTGTCGATTTATTTTTTGATTAATTCATTAATAATGTGATAGCCATGTGATAATTTTACGAATTTAAAACAGGTGAAACTAAAACTTTTCCATTGAGGGGTTCTGGATACATCATATTGACAGATAAAAAAAAATTTTTTTGTCTTTATTGCAAATGTTTATATAGTTGTTTTATAATTACTGCTCTAAATGGGTCACTCTGTCAGCTTAAGGATTGTTTTACAGTTTCTATACTCCAGTTAACGATTAATCGTTTACTAAATTAGTTGATAATTATTTCAATAAGCGATTAATCACGATCAGTTGTTTTCAGCCCAAATGTAAACGTAGGTATTTAGCTCTCCATTTCATCGGTTCATTAAATAGACATTAATAGACATCTGCACAGTTAACATCTTGACCTTTTAAACTTGAATGCATTGAGTTTAGTTCAATGATGACTAATTCAAAGTACTGCATCACTCTGAAATGCTAACGCTGTAGAGATTAACTGCCACTACTAAACACCATCACCAATGTGAAACCCAGTGATGGCAGCCTTATGCTGAGGGGGATCTAGTATTCAGCAGGAAGGGAAAATGAAGGGATGTATGGACAGATCCTGTTATAGAGGAACACCGTTTTTTTTTTTTTTTTTTTTTACATTGGGCCCTTGATTTTACATTATTACATCATGTTCTACTCACCCATATGAGTCTTGTGTCAGTTGGAGCTGCTCTGAAGATATTCCGTTAGGTTATATCCAAGTAATGTCTTCTTATGTGCAGTCGACTTGAAGGCACAAACTAAACTGCTCATAATTTATCATTTATGGTACGCCAGCATTCATAACATGTAGGTTAATCACTGTCAATCAGACATCCGTGGTTATATTTTTTATATTTATATGTTTTAAAAACAAAGCGGCACGTGTATGACGTCATCAGCGTGCCGGCTACCTAGGCCTGTCCCGATAATCAATAAATCAATTAATTGCACGATAAATAAAAACTATCCACGTCAGAGTAAAAAGGTCTTCAAACAATATTAACGTTTATCGCAATAAGTTTTCAGACAATTAATCGTTCAGCAAAATTTGTTGTTGTGACAGGCCTACGGCTACCATTCATTCATCCTGTCCGCTAAACTGCAGCTAGTTTAACTCACATGCCTGGAAGATGTCTAGTGCTACTACCACAGATGATCTCGCTCTCAAAATGGAATTGAAAGATTTAGATTAGCTAGCAAAATGAATAGAAGGGGTAGAGCGTAGCCGCCTGTGGCCCGGGCTGCCTGTCACAATTCCAGTCCGCATGCGCGGATGACACTCTGGGGGGCCTAATACATACGCACAACAAATGTTTTCGATTTCTTTCTGCAAAATAATTTGAATGTTTAATTTTCTGATACATAATTTTGTGCCATCTTGTTTCTATTCCATTCAGTTAATTTAAGTTTGGGGTTGAAATGAGGAAAAACTGTGACAAAGAGGCAACATTTTTCTTTTAACCTGATTCTGATAGTGGTTTGAGAGCTTATGAAAGCTACTGTAAGATCTATTTTTTTATTTTTTTTTTATGAAACTAGATGTACCAGATGATATCAAACCTATTGGCTTTAATTTTATTGTCTTCTGCTTGCAGGAAAGCAGAGTACTTCGAACTGTGCCTCTTTTAGCTGCATGTTTGCCACAAGGAAAATGCAACGTTATAGTAGGAAGGAGGTTTAATGAAGAAAAGTAAGTAGGCCACCGTAAAAATTAGCCCAAAAATCGCTACATTTGCTCATGTTTTTTCCACCCTCAGGCATCCAGAGCTAGCTGCTGTGTGTCAGGATGACCGAACACTCATCCTATACCCTGGACCTAAATCCCAGAACCTGGAGGAATTAGTGCAATGCCAAGAGGTCGCCACCGTGAAACATAATGTGATCATCATAGACGGGACATGGAGCCAGGCCAAAAATATGTTCCTGAAAAACAGCATGTTTCACCTTCCAAAACAGGTGTGTGAAACTGTTTTAATTTACTTTTATTAGGTTCACCAATACTATACATTTATAGTGATCATATCATCATGAAAAATCTCTTATTTATTTTTAGCTTTTATCTATGCAACACTATTTCTTGATCACAATCACACATAGTGGGTTTTTTTTTCAATCTGAATGACAGATGGATTCAATTTTATGTATCAGAGGACGCTGCCCTTAGTTACTGTTTAGAGTTCCTGTCAAATCAATTCATTTAATGGGACAATGCAGAACCTTTCTACGATTAAAAATGAATGATTCATGTTAGAGATAGAGGTGATGTCACACTTGTGAGAGATTGTACCCAACCATTTACCAGCTTTGCAGTCAAGCTGGATTTCACTATTTCTTTAAAACAGTCAAACCATAATTAGAGAATTTAAATTGGACATTATTGTAGCACCTTGTGTTCGTAGCTAGCATGCCTTCCTTATTTTCCTACTGTCGTCAGGTTGTGTTGGCCTGAGTGAACAGCTATTGTGCCTTTTTGGAGAATACAGTGTTGCAAAAAGATTCTGTTATTTCTGTGCTTCCTCTGACTTCACTACCTTATTTTTATTTAGAAATAAAATAATATTTTTCCTGCAGCAGCAAAAATCTGTGTATGGTTCATTCTTTGTTTTTTTCGTTTCAAAACAAAAACGAAAAAACAAAACAAGCATGTGGTTTTTCTGTTTTTCCGTTTTTAAAACCTAAATCGAAAAAATGAAAAATCGAATTATTAGAAAATGAACAGCGTTTGAGTTTTGTTTTGCCATCTAAATGAAAATAAAATACGGTTGTTGTTTTAATATGTAGCGGTACCGGAAATGAAGTAAGTCGCCAAAGAAAAATCATTTACAGTGGATGTAAATGATTTTCAAAACAAACCATTTCTAAACAAAAGGTAATGGCTGCACTTGAACTGCTTTCTGCATTGATTATCAAACTTTTTGTGAGAGGAAAAACACACTCTGAAATCAGTGATGCTTTGAGCCGCCATGGAGCTCCACATTACTCGGTAATGAGTGTCAGAAGGTTTTGTATGGAACACAACAATGTGTCGGACGCAGACGGATCATTAGCTCTCAATGAAATGCGTCGAAAAAGTTCCTCCTCTTTTGAATAGTAATGGTGGTTGGCAAGAAATTGAAGGCGTACATTACCGCCACCTGCTGATAACTAAAAAAGTTATCTGTTGGGAGTTCAGGTCTTCATTTCCGGTTCTGCCACAAGGTCCGTTGAATTAACAACAAAATAAAAGTTTGTCTTTGGTTTAACCATTGCAGTTAAAAAAATTCCCAAAACGTACACTTTTTTTTTCATTTTTGCAAATGCCGTTTTTCTAATTTCGTTTTAAAAACGGAAAAGAAAAAAAAACACATGCTTGTTTTATTTTTTCGTTATTGTTTGGAAACGAAAAAACCAAAGAACGAACCATACATGGATTAGCAAAGCATATTGTCAGCAGGGCTTGCTGTTTTGTTTGTTTGTCGTTAACTGTTTGGATGAAGGTGGGATTTTAGTTGATCACCATGCTTTGCAAACCATCAGCTGTTTTCTAGATGTATTTAGTTTACCGTTTAGCTCAACAAAGCATTGTTTCTTTTAAAAACCACAGCATATTCTCTTTCCAATAAGCCTCTCTCTGTACAGACAGGTCAGCGCTCCTAACATCAATCATACATTTGCTTTCCTGGCATTAATATACATTTAGAAACCACTTTATAGAGATAATTGAATTTCATCAAGTAGCATTTATCTTATTCACATCCCAACGGTAAATCCAGAAGAGCTATTGATCCCTTCTGCTTTGATTCATCAGGTCCAGCTGAACAGGACGCTGTCTAGCCAGTATGTGATCCGGACACAGCCTTCCAACATCTGTTTGTCCACGCTGGAGTGTGCTGCTGTGGCTTTGTCCATCCTGGAGCAGAAAGATGAGATCCAAGAGGTGATTTTTTTTTTTTTTTTTTTTTTGTCAAAAAAAAAATTCTAGTAATATTTAAAACTTTTGACAATCATGTTGGGTTTTTTGTTTTTCTATCAACCATTGTCTAAGTTTAAAGTAAAGCAGCAACCTGAACGAATAAGAATTTCTCTGTGATATTCAAGAGGCAGTGGTAATTGGATCAGGAGCACATAGTGTTTTCGAATCACGCAGAACCAGAACCAGGCTGTGTGATAAAATACCCACACATTATGAAAATATTAAGATCCTGGTGGTGTTTGGGGGAAATTATCCTGTTAGTTTCTACCATAGGACGCAAATATTTTGACCTAAATAAAATGAAATAAAAAATAGAAGCACATTTTTGGATCAGTTAAACTTTTGTAAAAAAATGTTAATCTAAGTAATTATTATTATTTTTTTTTAGATAACTGTATGTTCCCCTAATTTACTACGTCATGTTAGACAAATTACCAAATAAGAAAGGAAAAACAATAATAAATTATCATCTTATTTTAAGGGCAACAATACTCATTTAAAGGACGGTTCACCTTATTTACCTGCTCTAGTTAAGGGCATTTACACAGATTTTTAGGAAAGTTATTATTATTATTTTTAGATCACTATTTGCAGGAAAAAAAGAAAAAAACTTACCTAAGCCTGTAGATGTGTTTCAATCAAAATGCATTTTTAATTTTAAAGTATCACAGAAGAGCTTGATGGAAATGGCAAAAATGAATAAACTAAAAAGTTTGCTAAAAAGTTTTTATGCTCGGTTGAAGTGGTTTTAGGCTTTTTTTGAAAAAAGTTTAAGAGATTGAAACACATTTTTGAATAACTTCTAAAGTAGCAAATATTTACCTCCATAACTGATCAGCCGTTTCTGCCTCTGGCGTTGTAAACGCAGAATTGGAATTAAACTTCTCTCTTTGATGATTGGCATGAACCATGGCTAATGCTAGCTGGCATGATAAAGGAAGTACAACTGGTCCGTTTGCAACACACCATTATCCATTGAAAACTTCAATCCATCACTGAACTATGGTCTATGCTAGCTTGCTAACTCTACTTCCTGTTTACTACAACTGACCATAACATCAGCGTGTGACGCTTCGCACAGCCTCATCAGAGCCTCGGGGATAGGAGAATTGTGCCACTGGAAGACCAAGCTAGTTAGCTTCCTATTTTGTCAAATAGTTCCCGTTGAAAAATCAGGCAGATCTGAAACTTTTGGTAATTATTTCACTAAATACACAACTATTACCGAAAGGTTGACCAATGGAGAGGTTGTACTCATTATATAGTTCTGTTGACCATTTGAAATTAGCTTTTTTATACTTACGCACACACAAACAAATATATATATATATATATATATATATATATATATATATATATATATATATATATATATTATTTTTTTTTATTGCATCAATTACAGGGTCTATAATTAATTACCACTTTTCCAATTCAAAACCTACTTTTCTTTCTCAATATTGAATAATTATATAAGCACAACAACACATATATTGTTTTTAATCCAACCATTTACGTTATTCGACCATCAGATTGGTCAAAGTTAAAATATTTAAGCTTCTTTAGAAACTCCTGATATTTTATATTTGTGTAAAAAAATGTATTAAAATTACTTTAATAGAGTTCTGAAGATTACATTAGAGAACATTAGTTTTAGCACATAAACATTAGTTATAGTACAATCTCTCCTACGCAAAGTGAAGTGTGCAGCATTTAGTGCAATTAAAACATTTAGGCCACCAATATTGCTTTTTGTCATTAAGCCAGTTACACAAATAAATAATGTTCATTGTCCTGACTCCTGGCGCTTATTATGGTGAACGTTGATGCACCTACGCCATAGCCTAGGTGTCCATATCGATTCGAGATATTTGGTAAGTACACCTCACTGCAGAACTCGTATTTGGTTAAGCTTTTATATTCCTGGTGGACTAACACCCGTGATGCTGTTTGTGCATCAGTTTTACAAGAAACGTAAATAACAAAATGAAGTTGATCGCGTTACATTTTTTGTACACATCACATTTTTTTAACGCATCAAAATGTTTTATAATTAATTAATCAAAATTAACGTGTTAAAGTCCCAGCCTATATTTGGAGAGGCTAATGTTTTATTTACAGAGATGAGTAGACAACCTAACTATCATTTTCTACCAACATAATAGGTGTTAAGTATAGGTGGATGCAGTTTTATAAATACTATATTTGTTTTATTGCATTGCATTGTTTATAACTGAGCATGTAACAAATAAAATGTCTATCCATCTCAAACATATTCTTTTATTAATATTACTTAATGCCAGGTAGAAATGGAGAGTATGATGGCATATTTAAGTTCTGATCTATTTTCGTGTAGTTCAGCATGGTTTTCTAACGTTTATGGCAATGCTAGCATGAGCACCTAACTTCCCTCGAGCTATTTAAGCTCCTTGGGTTGCTGCTTCTCTTTGAAATGTTACCAGTTGTCGTCAATGGAGTTGTCAGAACTCCCTTATCTCTATGGCTCTGGGTCATGTTAGAGTCCTTCAGTGGAGGGAAACATGTCAAGTAGCATTTTGTTTTTTAAACATTCTCAAACTTTGCATCAAATTTAAATAGAAACACTCATCTGACCACAAAACATTTCCTCAAAAGGCATTTTGGTTTTTCCATGTACATAGCTGTATACTTCCGTCAAACTTTTGAATATTTTGAAGTGGGTGAAGTGTTTTTTTTGTTGTTGTTTTTTTTTATTGCCACCATCCAATTCAGCCTGAGCAGCATCTTTTATTCCGTGGTTGACTTAAGCTTTCTGTGCTTCGTGTGTTTTTTGTTTTTTTTACTATTTCCTAATTTAAAAAAAAAAAAAAATTTTTATTGTTTACATGCATAGGTTGTCATGATCCTATTAAGTTTTTTTTCTTTTTTTTTTCATCTATGTTTCATCCTGACAGATACTGCTGAGGCCTCTGAAAGCCCTGTGCTCCTTCCAGCTACAGCATGGCGCTCAGATTCATCACAGCAAAGAGCATCTCCTTAGGAACGGCATGTACGACAAACCCATGCCAAAAAACAAACGCAAGATTAAAAGAATGGAGAAACTCATGACTGACCACAGCATCTGTCCAAGATGAGACCTAGAGAAGGATCTTAGAATATCTTTGCACACTTTTTTTCAACAACTTTTGGACTGAATCATCTTGATACAAATGTGCAAATAACTGGACTTTTTTTTTCATTGTTTGTTTAGTTTTTTTATGCTTGTTTTATGTTGAGAATTTGAATTTATATACTGAGTTTTAAATCAGAGACTGAAGTTTTACTTGAAGTGTTTTACAACAAATGAGATTTGTTAGTTTTTTGTTTGCTTTATCCAGGAGTTGTTTACCCAAAAATACGGTAAACAAAGGGATGCTGTTGTGTATAGTGGTAGCCTTTCCTATATAAGGGCTAGGATTATTCAATGTTTTTCACAAAACAAAGTCTTAAAGAAAGAGCAGCATTTAAGTACAACAATTACCAAAGCTGTATAAATGTTCATCTTTTTAGTGTTCAATTTACTAACTGGATATGTAAATAGATCACTTGTAAATAAAACCTGTTTGACCTTTAAAACGACTCAATTTTTTATACCTGTTTGTTGAAATTAATCTAAACAAATCAGTGGAATGAAAAATATGAGATGGGAAAATTATGTTTAGCATTAAAGGTGCAAACGCAAACCTTTCTGGCAAATAGAAAAAAAAAATATGGCGATGGCTAAGTTTGCAAATCCAGCATAAATATCCACATGTAAGATATATCCATGTTTTATATTTTTTGTAATGTAGGAGAAATATTAAACAGCAGAAGAATTAGGAAAAGCTTTTTCCTAGTTCTTCTGCTGTTTAATATTTCTCCTAATTTAGTATTTTATATGTATGAGAAATTAGTTTGGGTGATAAGATGGAAGAAAATAAACAGTTATAATAAATCTAGAAATAACAAAAAGACGGAAAATTACCTTTTATCCTGGTAGGAGAAACATTTAAATGTTAAATATTACCGTAAAAGAACTGTGATGTATTTGAAAGACTTAAGGTGTTGAAATATTTAATTTTAGTTTTATTTTAATATAAAACCGACCGTAAATAAAATATGCTTTAGAGATATTTAATATACTTTGAGACTTTACATAAAAACAACTACAATAGCAAACAGATGGTTTTATAATTTTGAAAAGGTAACTCAAATTAAAGAACTTGCACAAATTTTTACACAACAGATAGTATGCAGTACTTTTAGATTTGTTCAAATGACAATATATACAGGTGCTGGTCATAAAATTAGAATATAATGAAAAAGTAGATTGATTTCAGTAATTCCATTTAAAAAGTGAAACTTGTATATTATATTCATACATTACATACAAACTCATATATTTCAGATGTTTATTTTGTTTAATTTTGATGATTACAAATGACAACAAATGAAAATCTAAAATTCATCATATCAGAAAATTAGAATATTACTGAAGACCAATAAAAACAAAGGATTTATAGAAATGTTGGCCAACTGAAAAGTATGAACATGAAAAGTATGAGCATGTACAGCACTCAGTATTTAGTTGGGCCTCCTTTGGCCTGTATTACTGCAGCAATGCGGCGTGGCATGGAGTCGATCAGTCTGTGGCACTGCTCAGGTGTTATGATAGCCCAGGTTGCTCTAATAGTGGCTTTTAGCTCTTCTGAATTGTTGGGTCTGGTGTATTGCATCTTCTTCTTCACAATACCCCATAGATTTTCTATGGGGTTAAGGTCAGGAGAGTTTGCTGGCCAATTAAGAACAGGGATACCATGGTCCTTCAACCAGGTACTGGTAGCTTTGGCACTGTGTGCAGGTGCCAAGTCCTGTTGGAAAATGAAATCTGCATCTCCAAAAAGTTGGTCAGCTGCAGGAAGCATGAAGTGCTCTAAAACTTCCTGGTATGTGGCTGCGTTGACCCTGGACCTCAGAAAACACAATGGACCAACACCAGCAGATGACATGGCACCCCAAACCATCACTGACTGTGGAAACTTTACACTGGACTTCAAGCAACGTGGATGAAGTGCCTCTCTTCTTTTCCTCCAGACTCTGGGACCTTGATTTCCAAAGGAAATGCAAAATTTACTTTCATCAGAGAACATGACTTTGGACCACTCACCAGCAGTCCAGTCCTGTTTCTCTTTAGACGCTTCTGACGCTGTCTGTGGTTCAAGAGTGGCTTGACACAAGGAATGCGACAGCAGAAACCCATGTCTTTCATACGTCTGTGTGTGGTGGTTCTTGAAGCACTCACTCCAGCTGCAGTCCACTCTTTGTGAATCTCCCCCACATTTTTGAATGGGTTTTGTTTCACAATCCTCTCCAGGGTGCGGTTATCTCTCTTGCTTGTACACTTTTTTCGACCACATCATTTCCTTCCCTTCGCCTCTCTATTAATGTGCTTGGACACTGAGCTCTGTGAACAGCCAGCCTCTTTAGCGATGACCTTTTGTGTCTTGCCCTCCTTGTGCAAGGTGTCGATGGTCGTCTTTTGGACAACTGTCAAGTCAGCAGTCTTCCCCATGATTGTGTAGCCTATAGAACTAGACTGAAAGACCATTTAAAGGCTTTTGCAGGTGGTTTGAGTTAATTAGCTGATTAGAGTGTGGCACCAGGGGCCATCAATTTTGAACCTTTTCACAATATTCAAATTTTCTGATATGATGAATTTGAGATTTTCATTTGTTGTCATTTGTAATCATCAAAATTAAACAAAATAAACATCTGAAATATATGAGTTTGTATGTAATGTATGAATATAATATACAAGTTTCACTTTTTAAATGGAATTACTGAAATCAATCTACTTTTTCATGGTATTCTAATTTTATGACCAGCACCTGTATGTATGTGTGTGTGTATGTATGTATGTATGTATATATATATATATATATATATATAGTTTAAAAGTAATTAAAATAAAAATTTCACATATTAGAAAATTACAAATAACGAGGCAGTATGTAAATATACATGTATAACTCTCATTATATAAAATATATTTAATGATTATTTTGTAATTTCCTTCCAAGTCGCCTCTGGCTGAACTGTTGCGCATGCGCGTTTCGAATCGGCCCCCGGTAGCTCCGCCATCTTTGTCGGCAGCCCATTGTTCACTCTGAAGCTAACAACGGTGTCAAAACCTTCTGCATCTTCTTAAATTACCGGGACTGTGTCACCATGCGGACTTTGATCGTCGTGATTTGCACAAGTCGGACTTGTTTTCGCCACTTAAGTGAGACAGAATGGACACGAACAGCAAAACCTTGTAAGTGTACAATGAATGCGTGCTATAGCAGCCTCAGCTCCTCACAAAAATAAGCGGTAAAAGCATATTTAACGTCTCTTATATCTGTTTATAAGGGTAATTGTTTTTAGCTAATGAGCAAGCAACATATTGATCACATAACGTATTATTTTAAAGTGTTACCATTGGGATAAACAACGCTTATGCCCAGCATAACAAAGCTAGCTATTCAAAAATCTCTAATTAAATCGATTTATGCAGCTCCACTTTAAGTGTAATTAAAGCGCTTGTGTTCCTTAAAAAAACGCCTGATAAATAGAAAAATTTGTTTTGAGCTAAGTTCAGTAACCGACTGTTGCTTCACCCCCGAACAACGATTCATGTATGTTGGTCATGTGACGCCAATGTTATTAAGACACCCAGTTTATTTTAGTTGCAATGTTAATCACATCAATAATAGGATTTAGGCTTAATGCGTTGAGTTTTTTAAGATGTTAATGTTTTCAACAAATGGCAGTTTAATTGTTAAATAGACATCTTAGACTAGAGTGAACAGTTTGCTTAAGTAATGAGATTACCAAAAATTACCAAGTTACTAGCGACTATAGATCACAGGAGATTTCTGAGTTTTAAAATGGGAAAGGATTAGGACACTGAAAAATAAAAAAAGTTGACAATTTTAAATTATTTCGGTTTAATATTGAAAAAAAGTCAGAATCTGACGTAATCAGATTCTGATTTTATTCGAGTTAATTAAATTCGAAGAGAGCAATTACCAAGCAAAGTATGTCATCGGTTACATAAGCTATAATGTCAAAATCTACCCAAACCTCCACCATTGAGATGTTTCAAATGCCAAAAATTCGGTCACATTGCAGCAGTTTGTAAAGGGAAACAGAGGTGTGGAAGGTGTGCAGGAGAACATGAGTACGGAAAATGTGGAAAAGAAGCTAAAATAAAATGCTGTAATTGTGGTGGAGAACATACTGCTGCTTATCGCGGCTGTGAAGCAAGCAAAAGGTCTGAGGAAATTAAAAAAATGAAATTTGAGCTCGGAATAACCTACGCTGAAGCTGCAAAAAGGATCCCATCTCAGTCAGAAAAACCCAAACCTACAGTTCAACACACAGCAAATTCCAAACCTCTAGAGAAATCTCCAAAAATTGATGAAGACTCACTAATTGTTAAAAAGACAAATTTTGTTCTTTTCATGGTAGAAGTGATTAATTGTACTGCACAGACAACAAAAAAAACTGAAAAAATCAAAATAATAGTGAAGGCTGCAGAAAAATATCTGGACATTAAAGATTTGAACTGGGAGATGGTTGGAAGCATGATGGGAGGACCGATGGGACCATCAGAAACTGGCAGAATTACGATGACCTAGAGTAAATTAAAATTATATGGGCAAATGTGATTTAGTATTATGTTGGTTTAAGTTACACAGGTTTTTTTTTTTTTTTTTTTTTTTTTTTTTTTTTTTTTTTTTTTTGGGGGGGGGGGGGGTGAATCGTTTCCTGTTTTCTTGCTTTACTCCATATCAGTTGGTGGCGGTAATGCACAATTCACAAGTCTGCCAACCGCCATAAAATCTCATAAGAAGAAGAAGAAGTCGCCTCTGGCTGAACTGTTGCGCATGCGCGTTTCGAATCGGCCCCCGGTAGCTCCGCCATCTTTGTCGGCAGCCCATTGTTCACTCTGAAGCTAACAACGGTGTCAAAACCTTCTGCATCTTCTATTAAATTACCGTGACTGTGTCACCAATAGCGGACTTTGATCGTCGTGGATTTGCTCACAAGGTCGCGACTTGTTTTCGGCCACTAAGTGAGACAGAATGGACGACGAACAGCCAAAAACCTTGTAAGTGTAAATGACTGCGTTGCTCTTAGCTAGCCGCTCGCTCTCGTCACAAAACATTAAGCGGTACATGCATATTTATACGTCTCTTTATATCTGTTTATAAGCTGTAATTTGTTTTTAAGCTAGAATGAGCAAGCTAACATATTGGATCACATTAAACGTATTATTTTAAAGTGTTTACCATTGGGATAAACGAAACGCTTAATGCTAGCCAGATAACAAGCTAGCTACTTCCAGAAAAATCTCTAATATATACATTTTGGAGCTTCCCACTTTAAGTGTAATTAAAGCGCTTTTTGTGTGCTTTAAACGCACTTGGATAAATAGGAAAATATTTGTTTTGAGCTAAGGTTCATGTAACCGATCTGTTTGGCGTTTCACCCCCGAACAACGATTCATGGTTGATGTTGGTCATTGTGCAGGCCAATTGTTTTATAACCCAGTTTTTATTTTAGTTTGCATTGTTTATCACATCAATAATATGGATTTAGGCTTAATGCGTTGAGTTTTTTTTAGAATTGTTGGTAATGGTTTTCAAAAAATGGCATGTTTTAATTGTTAAATAGACATCCTTATGATCTTAGAGTGAACAGTTTGCCTTAAGTAATGAGATTACAGCAAAAATTACCAGAGGTTATTAGCGACTATAGATGCCACAGGAGTAGTTTTGAAGTTTTAAAATTGGGAAGAGGATTAGGAACACTGAAAAATAAAAAAAGTTGACAGATTTTTAAATTTTATTTCGGTTTAATATTGGAAAAAAAGTCAGAATTCTGACTGTAATCTCAGAGTTCTGATTTTAATCTCAGAATTCTGACTTTAATGTCAGAATTTTGGATCTTAATGTAGATGGGCACCATGAAGGAAGAGATGTGGGAGTACTCGGCTTCACTGACAAAGATGTGAGTTATTTGGGAGGGCCAATAACACATTGGTGGAAAATTATGCAATTAGGCAACTTTTTACATGTATGAGGGGTCCTCAGTGATGCTATTTTATTAATGGAAGAGCAGAAGGTGATTAAAACAAAAGAGCTAATCTTAAACAGGCATCTCTACGGCTTGATGCTAACATGTTTTTTAGCTGTCAGAATTCTGAAATTAAAGTTAGAATTCTGACTTTTTTTGTCATACTGAAATCAAATTTTAAAATCAGTTAACTTTTTTCTTTTTTTTTTTTCCCAGTGGCCCTAATCCTCTTTTGTACTTACAGAAACTGGTTAAGTTTGTGTTGCTCTTAGTGCTGTGGCATGCAGTTACAGCAATACAATTACCTAAGACCTCAAATAAGTAATGAAGAGTGTCAATTTTATTATAATCACAATAGTACCACAAGATATAGTGATAAGATTTTAAGCCCATATCGACCAGCTTTGTAGTAATATTTCATTTTGAGATCAAATAAAGAAAAACATTAGTAGTTCTTCAGAAAGAAACTTGATTAGATATTATGCTGCTGAAGATTCTCAGTCTTCAAGGTCATACTCATTCCAAAAAAATGAAATTAAAAACAATACACTATTTTAATTCCCTATGTGTATTAAAATATATATATTCAAGAAATATACATACCTCCATTACTTTGTGTTTATTGAAGACAAGATCATCAGTGCTAGGTTCTCTGTTAAATAAAGTATGACTGTTTAATAAAGTAACTCTTATCCATGGATTACTTTTCTTGGGGTAAAAATGTGACTCAGAAATGTGATTTCTTTTTAAGTTTAATATTCCAAATACATTTTTTTTCCTTAAAATTGCAATAAAAATGTATTCTTCATAATGAAAATATATTTTCAAATTAATTTGGTGCATTTGTTTTTTTTTATGTAAATCTATTTAGGAATTTAATCTACATTTACTTGTTCAATTGTGTGTGTTTGTAACTGGCATGAATATTTATTGATATTTATATCGTGATGATCTGAAAGCTCGCTCAACGGCAAGATTGAATGTAAATATTTTAGAAATGTTGCTATAATTCGAATATTTCTTTTTATCTTCAGTTACACCTCTGTAACTTCCGGAGGTTTATGCCTCTTAATAAATGTATCTTTTAGAATAGCGCCCAACATACTTATTAAAGACTGTTCTAACAAATTGTTAGAAGGAAAACAAATACCTGAGAGCACTTTTTGTGTTTTGAGAAAATTCCATTCTAAATTTTTTTATGTTTGAAAAGAAGGTTTGATTTATTATTTATTAAGAATTTTTTGGCTGAATGGCCTGTTGAGTGTTAGGATCTTGCTGCCTGCAGATTCCTCCATAATGCTATGGGAATAAGTGGGTCAAGCCTGTCTGTTTAATTTGCAGATGCTTGTTTCATCGTGGCAAAGTTCATGGAAAGCAGTTCAAATGTTATGCGCGAAGAAAAATTGAAAGGGAAGATAGATAATTTTCATTATATAGTTAATGAGTAAATATCGATTAGCATCTGTAACCTTTAACTTTAGTTTCTGTTGATATTTCTTTAAGCATACAGATGCACAACACATTATGCAACTATAAGTTGGCTGAAACATTTCAACATTTTACCCACCCCTCACTTTTTTGTTTTAAGTCCTTGTTTTTAACATGGATAGTAGGGATGGGACGATTTATGAAAACCGTCTGAACCGTTCGGTTCGACTGTCTTGGTTCGATTCGCATGTGTTGCGTTCGGTTCATGCGCTGCTCCTTTTTCTCATAGGCGAAGCGTTTACACTCCAGAGCAGAAGGTGGCGGTACTGCGACCAAAGCCAACCACCAGTAGTAAACAAGAAGAAGAAGAAGCGAAGCAGCTTAGCCGGGTGTAGCAGAAAAAAAAATCAGTTGTTGTGGAGAATTGTGTCGGAATGGCGAGTGGGAAAGAACAGTTGAAAGTTGGAAGACCTGCAGCACTTTATGGGTCTGCTGTATGGGACCGCTTTGCATTTAGAGTGACCTACGATGACGGCGGAAAGAAAGTTGTGGATAAAAATGCAACAGTGTGCAAGCATTGTGCAACACGTTTTGTTTATGCTAACAGCAACATGACCAACATGTCAGGCTAACCCCGAAATCCCTCATACTCCGTCAGCAATCCCCGCTGCGCTCCAGACCGGCTGCTCAAAGCAAAGACTACACCCCCCCCTGTGGCTCCCGTCCGCTCCCCTCTGAGTCCCTTGGGATGGTAGAGAGCATGCGCGAGATTATTAAATTCAAAGCAGCAAAACATACGGAAATGATCCAGGGTTTCTGCGGATCATTTAAAATAATTACAATCCATTATTTTTGAGGGATTTTTTCATTAATTTCATAAATTTTTATGGGATTTCGGTGTAACAATCAACATGTATCGAACCGAACCGAAAACCATGACCACGAAACCGTGAATCGAACCGAACCGTGGATTTTGTGAACCGTTCCACCCCTAATGGATAGAAACCTCAAAAAAACTAAACGGGGGACTTGCTCCCAACATATTTTTTCTTTTTTTTTTTCTTTCTTTTTTATGCTAAAAAACAGTTAGCCTCTTTGCCATTCAGATTGAATACACCCTGAAGGAGAGGTTGCTCACCAGTGGGTTTACAAAATGGTTAAAGAGTGTAATAAACAGCGCCCACTAAAGTCTTCCATTTTGTAATGCCTCGAAAATGAAGCTGATAGCTGTTTTTAAACTTTGACATCATGGAGTATTAGTCTCAGTGTGATTTGGTAGTACTTTCAATCACCGATTGTAAAAAAGATTGACTTAATGATACCCCTTTCTCGCTGGCTGAAAAACCCATTTAAACCCTGGAACAATCTGCTTTTAGTGGCAGTGGAAACATCTCATTGATGCGTGTCTACCCGGGACCCAAGCGCAATTTGATGTGTACGGTTGCAAGTCTAATCTGCCCTTAACACAACGTGATAGCCACACCTGAACTAACAAGCCGGAAAAAGGGTTTAGATTCCATAAACACGGAGCTGCGCCGGTGAGAGGGATTCGGACAGATAACAGAGCTAAACATTAAAGCACACTTACTATGCTCTTACTTCCTTACTTGTTGCTCTTTGTTTACTTTCTTGATTTCTGTCGCACTGGTGACACCATCAAAGCTAACCCAGCATGATGGTGTCATCAGACAAGCAGCTGCGGGAAGACAAAGGCTACGCAGCTTGTCAACGAGGGGTTAGACTCCGTTTTTTTTGCCAATTGGAAGAGAGCAAAATGCCGATTGTTAGGGGGTTTGGAAAAACCAGGGATAACAAGCTATTTTCAGTGGGAAATAGGCTTGAGAGTCCCGCTGGCTGATAAGTCAATGATAACAAGCTCTTGCATCTTTGAATTCATCAAAATTTAAACAGGCTTCTAGGCACACATTATCATTGGGTCTGCTTACCATTGAGGTTTTATCACAAGCCACTCATGTTTTGTTGCTGCTGTGTATGTAGGTATGTGGGGAACCTCTCCCGGGACGTGACGGAGGCCCTCATCTTGGAGTTGTTCAGCCAAATAGGACCCTGTAAAAGCTGCAAAATGATAGTAGATGTGAGTTATTCATCCTCATTTCATGTTAGCTCTATTTTAAAACATTCAATATGTAGACCCTTGATTTACTGTTCTGGTATTTATTTTGATTTCATTTTATTTTTCAGCGTGCAGTGGTTTATGCAGCCTCTCATTTTCCTACCTAATGCTTATCCAATTGGGCTCACATGTACTTAAACTCTGTCTTTTTTTCCATCCCAGACAGCAGGTCATGATCCATACTGCTTTGTGGAGTTCTATGAGCATAGACATGCCACGGCTACAATCGCAGCCATGAATGGTCGGAAAATACTGGGTAAGGTAAGCTATCATTACTCCTTGGTGAGTGTCCAAGGGCAAGGCTGGTTGGGCAAGGCTATTACCAAACAACTGGTTAAACTTGTTTGATTATATTTCTTCTGGTTTCCTGCTCTACTGTGTGTTTTGTTTTATTCAGCTTTACAAATCATTCCTCTGTGCACAATTGCTGTGTCTTAATAGGGAGCACCACACTTCATCTTTACTACCTTCCTTCAAACCTTTAAACAAACAAACACAAACTTTGAGATCGTAAATCAAGTTAAGTCAAACTAAGACGGCTTTACTGATGTTTTATTTATTGAAAACATCACTGAGTGCTTGTTTTGCATTGATCGGGTTTTACGCTGTACACTCAGATGTGTTACTTACGCTGAAGATGGAGTCCAGACCGCCATTTCCTTATTCTTGACACATATAATCATCTTAATCTAAAGCATTTTCTAAAGCTTGTGCTTATACTGAAAAATTAATGCACACTGAGTTTCCAGAAAAAAAAAATAATAATTTCACTGTCATAACATAAATATATAAATGGGTGGTGTATTTGTGTTCTCAGCTTCATAGCAAATGAATACTTGTTGCTTGCATATTTCCTTTTTCCACACTGTATTGTCAGAAATTGAATTATTTCCATTTCCCGCCTGCAACCTCTTACCATTTTATAATATTTTTTTCTCACTTCTGTAACCATAAAAACTAATATTTTACCATTCTGCTGCCAAATCCAGTCAACAACCTCTGAGCTTTTATTTAGGAAAACCTGGAAAACCTTGTCTGTGCTTGACATTACTGAGCCTGCATTGGTTTAAATTAGGGCTGCAACTAACGATTATTTTAAAAATCGATGAATCGGACGATTATTTTTTCGATTAATCGATGAATCGGACAAAAAATATTTTTTATATTAACCTCTTTATTCCAAAATAAACATTATAGACAGAACAAACAAGCACACAAGTACAGGTTGCTCATTAACTGTACTGGTGCAAGATGAAAAATTAATGTTTGTGTTAAAACTACGCAAACTTACATGAGAAATGTAGCTGTACATCCACAAAATATAGGGTACTTTGTTTCATAAAGTGCAAAAAAAGACATTTTTGTTTTTAAAAGCCTCTAAGGGGTTCAAACAACAGGTCCCCCCATTTAAACAAATGAGTTTTTTTTAGACTAGAAGAGTTCTGCCTTTTAAGACAGGAAAGTACAGCAGTTAAAGTTGCTACTTGAGAAAATACTGAACCATAGAGATAAAAATAGCCCTGTGATTCAAATTATAAATTGTATTTGGAATAAAAATGAGAGAACTAGGGGTGGTAAAACACACATCCTCCAAAGACAGATATTTACATGGGAATGTGGCATATAATTAATTGACATATTACTGATCTTGCTGGATTTTATTCTGCTTTACTTCTATAAATTGCAGGATCATCTTTACTTTATCTTTGCCAGAAGATTTAAACTTTAAAAGTCTTGCCCTCATAATTTGCAAGTTAATTTATTTATAAAGTAAATATAAACGCTGCTTAAGCTAATTCAAATGAAATTAAAAGTAAAATAAGTAGCCAACCTTATCACTGTCTGTAACCTACTAACAAGGTAAGGAAAGCATCAGATGAGCTACCTGAGAAACTAACGTAACGTTTCCCTACTTTAAAACCAAACAAACATGGTGGTTCCGTGCCATGTTAATTTCTTTTGAAAAAAGTTGCATGTTATCACTTTTTTCGCTTTACAAAGCGCAGGCTATTTTAATTATTGTGATCAATTTGCGCCGTCAATCCCGGTGCATGCGCGCTTCATTTGCAGTCTGGACGCTGAGGCTCTGACTGAGAGGGACTCCTGCGGGAAAACGCGGTTGGGGTGGGGGAGGCGCCCCACGGCAGAGTAGGAACATGCATGCTTTCACGTAAGAGTCTCCAAAAGCCGCCAGTGACACCGAAAAAAGTCGCCAGATTTGTCGCTAGTCGCTTTTTTGAAAAACATTCGCTGGAGGGGTCTGAAAAGTCGCGGAGTTGGCAACACTGCACCTGCGGCGCTGACTCGCTCTGCCGTATTTTTTTTTCTTCCTCTTTCAGTCAAGAGGCAGTGATGACGGCGCGGCGGATGACGCAATAATCGCGCGACACAACTAATCGATGATGACATTCGTTGCCAACGCTTTTAAAAGTCGATTTTTATCGATTTTATCGATTCGTTGTTGCAGCCCTAGTTTAAATATAGCCAGTGGATTCCTAATGTTAACATGAAGCACCCGTCAGGATTAACTCATAAATATAAATCGGATTCATTGAGTTAGGTTGATTTCATTAACGGGGGTGCTTTGGGTTACTTTTATATATAATTACAAGCTTTCTCGGCTTTACGATCTTACCACCAGTTTAGACTCTGAAACATTTTATTGAAGCATCATCGAATATGTTACAAGCATGTTTAGCTTCATCCACAGGTCATAATAGTCTAGTTATATGTCAAATTAGATATGTTCAGTAATATGGATAATCTTTCAATATGTTGTGCAGCCTACACTGAGTAGAAAGTTGGATATATACCCAGGTTAAGAATTTTGTTTTTATAAAGCTTTAACTTTCCGATGCTGGTTTCTTTTTTTTAAATATATTTTTGAAGAAATATATATGCATTTAGATTTATTTAGTTTTTTAGCTTTACTGGTGTTTCCCCTCTCATTAAAGGAATAGTACACCCAAAACATGATTAGCCTTCATTTTCTACTCACCCCCATGCTGAACAACACTCTGGAGTACTTTTTTGATATCTCAAATGCATCTGGAGATCTGGGAGGCTTCTTGCTGTCTGCTGACCTTCAAATAATGGAGGTCCATGGTGCCCGAGACAGAAAGGTCCATAAAAGTCCACAAAAAACGTTTCAATATTCCTCCATACTGCTCGTCCAACGTATTCCAAGTGTTCTGAGTGGGTAGCATCCATAATTTACTCGAAACGAAGTCATTTAGAATGTTTTTAGAGCATAAACAGTAGTGTATAGGATTTCCTGAAAGGGCGTTCACGGCGCTACGGAAACCGCGGCAGACCAAACCAGACGAAAGTGCGCATTCAGCTCAGCAAAGAACTCATGCTCTTCCTCAACACTGAAGTCCTCAGACATTTTTCTTTCGTTGTTTCTTTCTTTGCACAGGTAAACAGCACATTTCTTCTTCTACGCTTGCATTATCGGCAGAGCAGACGCTGAATGCGCACTTTTATCTGGTTTGGTCTGCCGGCTTCCGTAGTGTCATGAACGCGCAGGTGCGCGCTTTCAGGAAATCCTATACACTACTGTTTATGCTCTAAAAACATTCTAAATGACTTTGTTTCGAGTAAATTCTGGATGCTACCCACTCAGGACACTTGGAATACATTGGACGAGCAGTATGGAGGAATATTGAAACGTTTTTTGTGGACTTTTATGGACCTTTCTGTCTCGGGCGCCATAGACCTCCATTATTTGAATGTCAGCAGACAGCAAGAAGCCTCCCAGATCTCCAGATGCATTTGAGATATCAAAAAAGTACTCCAGAGTGTTGTTCAGCATGGGGGTGAGTAGAAAATGAAGGCTAATCATGTTTTGGGTGTACTATTCCTTTAAATTTTGAGAAAAGTCAATGTTTCCTAGAAACCTTATATAAAATATAAAATAATTGATTTTTACATTTTAAACTGTCTTTAGCAGCTAGCCTTTTTAGAGATTTGAGATCCTCAAAAACTTTAGCCCGGCCAGCCAGTCTGACTGACTGTGTTGATGGCATATCGGGTCTGGAAAGAGACCCAGTTTCAATTGCAGGACTAACAGAGTCTGAGGACAGAGCTATGAACCAATCAGATGTCTACAGCAAAAACTTTTTTTTTTTTAGAAAAGCTCTTATGGCAGCCAGTTCTTTGAATTTTTGATTGGTCCAAATGGTTTTAGCCCAGAGACTGAGTCTGAACTGGCCGTTCTCACGCCCTGTGTCAGTCAGTCAGTTTGGCTGGCTGTTTGGCCAGAAAACATATATAACAAAGCGCCTTCACTAATGTGGTCAGACTTCCTGTTCACATTTAGCTGTGATTAAACTGCAGACTTGTCTCGATGCATAACTTACCTCAAATGAGTTGTATTTTAGGGTTTTTCACTTATTCACATGGTGAATGGCTGTGCTTTGGTGTTGTTTAGCATGTTGATTTGGGCAAATACAAGGTTTTTTTGTGGCTCTAGCTGTCTAATCAGTGGTCAGCACCAATCAAGCTGAATCACCAGCTGATTTCTCGGTGCGTCTGCGCCAACGAGGAATCAGTAGTAATTGTTTTCAGTCACTTCATTTTCCATTCTATCTGTTTTAACAATCATTCCTATTGAGCCCTCCTATGTTTTATGAATTAATTGACTTTAATGTGGCCCTGTTTTGTTCTTATACAACATTTGACATGTTGATCTACTTTAATCACTGCTCTTCTGTGCCCCTATATCTTTAATGCTTTGTGTTCTTTGCAGTTATTTCCACGTAGAATCCACATAAGAGCACCTTTTTAAGAAAAAAAATACTTTCAGTTGAAAATATTTTATCCTCAACAGGTATTGAAGGACCATTTGAGGAGTATAACAAGTTCGTAAAAATCACTTGTTTGTAAGTCCCTTGTTATTTGGACCTTACTTCCTACAGTTTTACTCCAAATTACTAGCCTGAAAATGAAATGTTCCTCATTATAAAGGTGAAGTCTTAATATCCCTTCATGTTCTCCACTGTTTATATAAATGTCTTGACTAATGCAGAGGTTTATGTAAAATTAGATAAAGATTAGTTTGTGTTGGTGGTTAAAGCATTTCTGTGGCTTTCAGAGGCCATCTTAATCAGAACTTCTCAGTCACAAATAAAAACAAAAGTAAAACTGGTGTGTGATTCCCCCCCCCCACCCTCTAATCAAAGAAAAAAAAAACCTCCTTTCATGTGTAGGATGCTTCATTTCTCACCTTCTCGTCTTCCCTGCTTTGCATCTGTGTTTCTTGCAGGAGGTGAAGGTTAACTGGGCCACAACCCCAACGAGCCAGAAGAAAGACACAAGTAGTAAGTAACTCTTTCCATGAATGTCTTATCTGTTTGAGAAACAGAAAGTCGAGTCTAGGGTTGGGAATTGATAAAATTTTCATGATTTTGATTCACTTATCCATTCAGTGAAACAAAGAACTTGGTAAGCGCACGGTGACATTCGTCTATCTGTGCCTGGGACATTCTATTTCTGAAGGTAGTGCACGGGAGCTGCCAGCCATGCTGCCGTCTCGTCACAGTCATTTCAATCTAATGGAGAAGGCATCCATTTATGAAAAAGCATTACTGTAAAATTTCGGGAAATAAACTCATCTCCCCCTTATTTAAATAAAAGAGCGTCACCTTTCTCTTGGTCCTTGAACTGCGGAGCAACTACGTGGCATGTTTAATAACCCCAAAGAGAGGAAGGAAATTGGTTTATTTCCGGAGATGGCATCTGATTTACTAGAAACCACAGTAAGCACAGCCAGTGATATAAAACTAGCTACTTATCACCAGAGTTGCCTTCCATGTTGGTCTTAACTTTAGCTTCTGTCCGGAAGCATCAAAAACACGGCATTCGTTAAAATGTATGCCATGTTGTGTGCGCAGGTGTTTCTGCATGTTGGATGTATTTCCTGCCACTGATGTCATTGCCACGTTGCAATGATTGCAGAGGGCCTTGTTGCCATCTTTCTCTTCCTTAAAATGAAACCCAACTTTCTATCACTTTGACCGCTTTTATTTTGCTTTTCTAGACTGGTCACGTCATACTTGCTTACTGAATGTGGTGTGCGTAAGTTGCGTAAAAAAACATGACGTAAGTCGTGCTGCCCAGAGCACTAGGCTCTGGTGCTGCCTGGAATCATTAAGCGAGCTGCCAAACGGTGCCATGGATTTGGAAAACACGGAACTGGTTCTGAACAGGAATCGGTTTTCAATTCCCATCGCTAGTCGTGTTTCACGTGTTTTTTTGTTTTTATATATTTTTTTGTTTTTATATATTTTTTGGTTTATTTATTTATATATATATATATATATATATATATATATATATATATATATATATATATATATATATATATATGCTTGGTGTTTACATTAATTTACTGATGTTCAGATGTAGCAATTTACCAGTGGGGGTTCCCTAGTCACAGGAATCCTCTTGGGTAGGTTAAATCTTTGTTTGAATACAAAAATGTTGTGAAGACTTTAGAGGTTTGTTAAGAACATTAATGCATCATGAAGACTGAGGAAAACAGCAGAAAGGTCAGAGAAGAAAGATTGGGGGGAAAAAGACAACATGGCACAGAGCATTATTTAGTTAATCATCTGATACTGGAAAGAGTATCACTTAAATGCAACTCTACGACCACCTGGCCATCTGTATGAACGAGCAGGCAGGTTAAAAATGGAAGGAATTAAAGGAGGAGCTGCAGAGATCCATCGTCTTGTTGGGGAAAATCTTTTCAGTGGACAGCTATTAGTGGTGCGTTCTATGAGTCTGCTTGTTTCGGAAAACTAGTGAAGCATTTTACTGTTCCTTCTGGTTGGATTTTTGTTCTACAGATGGAGTCGCATACAGAGCTGGGAAAATACCAGTTAATGCAAAGACCTTAAGACTTTGAGTGGAATAATGACACTAAACCAGTCCCAAAACATTTCAGCCTGTGACCCCAAAAATAACCGCACCACAGACTGGCGACCCCCTAAAAATACATAGTACTATTTCACTCTTTATTTATAAAATTATAAATGGTAGGTATTTAAAAAAAAAAAGAAAATTTATTTTATATTTTGTTTAGGAATTTTGAAATCAAATAATTGGGCAATTTAATTATTGTGGATTTCATTAAATGTTATTAGGTCTAATTGTTACATAACAAATGATCTAATATGTCATTTAATTTAATCATTTGATTAATAATTTAATAGTATATCTAATATTTTAATTATATGTTAGATAGGTAAACAAATTATGCATTTTATAATTTTGTGGTATGTGTAGTAGTTAAATCCTATGCATGATAAATAAATGAAAGTTACTTTAATTTATTTGATGGAAAATTGCATATTTCCGCATATATTTTGCTGGTGTCTTGTGACCCCCACTTTGGGGGCCTCTGCTCTGAACATAAATCCATATCTTTGTAGAAATCATAAGTTCAGGGTTAAGGCTAGTTTTTCCAGACACTTTAGGGGGAGCAACTGAAAAGTGACATTTTAAAGAAATCTAGTGTTGTGCATATTGTAGAAACTGTTGTAGCCTTCATTTGTTTCTGAAATAAATCTACAAATTCATATTTTTACAATGTTTTATTTTTTTTTTAGGTCACTTCCATGTTTTTGTTGGAGACCTGAGTCCAGAAATCACCACAGATGACATAAAAGCAGCTTTCGCTCCATTTGGAAAAATATCGTAAGTTTATTCTCATTGGTGCTTCTCTACAAGGCCATCCTTCTTTTCTTCCAGTATTTCTACTGCACATGCTCATGATGTGCAATTTTAGCTAAAAAATAGAAATATAGTGGTGTTTTTTTTTTTTTTTTTTTTTTTTTTTTATTACAAACGCTCTTTGTCCTCCTAAGTTTAAATTCGTCTTTCGAAAAACTTTTCATGTTAAATTTAAGAACAATACCAGTCTGAAAAAAGATAATCTATGTTCCTCATGTTGAGCAATGTCTTGTAGCTGCATTTTGATTTACCAGAATGACATTCTAGCTCCATTTACACTATCCTCCGAAAACTGATCCGTGCCGATCTTGTATCAGTTAACAGCGCTGAGTTCAGTGCCTTACGAACATTTACATGCCACAATAGCACTGTTCCTCGCCTCCTAGTGACGATCGATGGTACTCTCTAGATGTAAACAAGCAATTCAATATGGCGGCGTTTGTAACATTCAGGAAGTGTGCACAGAGTGAGGCGAAGGCAGCCTTTGGTGAATTTACTTGACAGTAAGTTTTAGGAAGTGGATACGGTACATGATGGTCTAATCAGGGCTTACACAGGACACAGGAAACAACAGACGTTGAGGTTCATCACACTGCTAAGCAGAACCATCACTAGAAATCGTGTGGCACGGTAGGTAAGCTAATATTTTTTCAAATGTCTAATATTTCATGACTACAGAGGCTGCTCATGCGCTCTTTGTTAACTGAGAACTGGGTCCGAACTGACCTGCGCCAAGCCCTACTATTGATCTAGTACCAGTTTAGTGTACGGCGCGGTCCGGTTCAGTTGTGCATACCATTTACACTCAATAGTTATTTCAGTTACCGTGCTCGGACTGATCTCGGCACGGTTTCAAAAGGGTAGCGTAAGTCGAGCTACTATGTCAGTAATTTCAGAGTGTAACCAGTTACTTTTTAACTGTGTCTAAATGTGTTTGTTTACCTTCAGGGATTGTCGTGTCGTGAAAGACATGGCCACAGGTAAATCTAAAGGCTACGGGTTTGTCTCCTTCTTCAACAAATGGGTACGTTTAGCTCTAAGTGACATAACTTGTAATGGTACAGAACATATTTTCAGGTTCTTTTTGGGACATTTCTTCTATTTTCACGTTTAGGATGCAGAAAACGCCATCCAGCAAATGGGAGGGCAGTGGTTGGGAGGCCGACAGATCAGGACCAACTGGGCCACGAGGAAGCCTGCTCCTAAAACAACGAATGAAAGTTAGTTAGTAGTGGTCAACCTTTGTTTTTTGTCAGCCATGTTTTATTATTTTGCAGTTTAATGAATATTCTTAATCAAAATCTTCATGTTTGTCTTTTTTTTTTAGCAGCCAGTAGCAAACAGCTCTCCTTTGATGAGGTGTTAAACCAATCCAGCCTCAGTAACTGTACAGTCTACTGCGGGGGAGTCACACAAGGTCTCACAGGTGAGAAACAGTGTAATCAAGGCACAGTCTTACAAGCACTGAGCACTATTCACACTTTCTCTTTTTATTCACAGAGCAATTAATGAGACAGACTTTCTCACCTTTTGGCCAAATAATGGAAATCCGTGTTTTCCCAGAGAAAGGCTACTCCTTTGTGAGGTAACCTGACTTTTAGATCTGCCTGTTTTAGGGGGAAACCTCATCTACCTGTCAGATGAGTTATCTTTTTAGGGTAACTTGATGTTTCAGGTCTTTTCTACTATCAGGTTCAACTCCCACGAGGCAGCAGCTCATGCCATAGTTTCTGTTAATGGCACTTCCATAGAGGGCAACATTGTGAAGTGTTACTGGGGGAAGGAAACAACAGATATCGTACAGGGTCCCATTCAGCAGGTACAGATGGCACAGGTATGACAATTCCTTCCCTGTAAAATCTATAATTTCTCTGTAAAAATAAATAATTAGATGTGTCTCCTCAATGCACGTTTTTGTATTTTAGCAGAACACCTTGAGCTTCGCTGCCCAACCTTACAATCAGTGGGGGCAGTGGTACAGCAACACACAGCAGATCGGTCAGTACGTGCCCAATGGATGGCAGGTGCCAAGCTATGGCGTCTATGGGCAGGCCTGGGATCAGCAGGGCTACAAGTGAGTGGAAACATTACACCAATCCGAAATAAACAGCACTGCTTCTTACTGAAAGGCAGATTTCAATGGTCTAAAGAAGGCAGCCTAATGAGTTAAATCAAATTATTTTTAACATCTTGACCATGAAACCCTACAAATAAATTTGCTCTGGCTGAATTTTATTTTTCAGGTCTGAGACACGATATGAAGTATATGTTGATATAAAACAGAAGCTTAAACATGAAAAGCAGGAAGGTTCTGAAGCTCTGTGAGTCTTAGGGATAGGCTTTTTACATATTTGTTTTTTTTAGCCCAATCAATTTGTCTCTGCAAAAACCAAGGCATTTTTTTTCTCCTAAATCCCTTAAAGTACTGCAAAACGTGTTCTGCATTATTGCACTTCAAAATGAGCACAATAAAAGTAAATAATGAATTCACTGGCTTTTATTTAAGAGATTTGGATTCTTAGAAAAACATTGAAGCCAAATTTAATCTATTTGTATTTGTTTATCCATTTACTTATGTTTCTATTTTAGAGCAGCATCCAGCCTGTGTGTTTCTGTCTGGAGGGAACACACCAGGCTTTGGTTGGTTTGAGATTCAAAGTTTAAAGTTGAATGAGTTTTTCATGATCTAGATTATTTTAAACAACAAGCAAGTAGAGGAAATATAAAATAAAACTGGTTAATTATGAAGCTTTTCAATTTAGATTACAAACTTGTTCAACAGAACTTCATTTCCTGAACCTTTTCACAATGTATTCTGATCTAAAACTGGGCTTTTAACAAAGTTAATATCAAGATAAAAATATATTAATTTACAAACCATAAAATTTTTTTTCTTTGTTTTTGTTTTCAAGAAGCCACCTTAAAGTTGTTCCACTTTGCCCTTTAAAGATTCAACAGCTAAAGGTATTCCTGTGCTGCTAGGATGAAGAATGTCTCTATATATGTATCTATTCCGGATGCCTCCTGGTCGCCTCCCTCTGGAGGTGTTCCAGGCATGTCCTGTTGGTAGGAGGCCTCATGGAAGGCCCAGGACACGCTGTAGGGACTATGTTTCTGAGCTGGCCTGGCGTCGCCTCGGGGTCCCCCCAGAACAGCTGGAGGAGGTGGATCAGGAAGTCTGGGCTTCTCGGCTTAGACTGCTGCCTCCGAGACCCAGCCCTGGATAAAGCGGAAGAAAGTCGATGGAGTATAGTTATTGCATATTTTGCAACTGAAACTTAAAAATGTCAACCAATGTATACGTAAAACTCTAACTTTATATGTTGAAATTACCAGTTAACTTATTGATTTTATAATTTGTACAACATTTTAAAGACAGTCATACTATTATAAATGGGAGAATATATATTCTAGGGGTGAACTGTTGGCACTTTTGTAGTCATTATTGATTCCATTTATAGCTGGAAAATCTTCAATGCTCCAATTTTGTTTTATTGAAAATCATTTAACAATATCAGTGGAAAATTCCAAACTTGTTTTAACTGCAAAAAAAGATGGTGATAGGAAATATAAAGTAAAGATTTTCTTAACTTTGCTGAGGTGGATCAGATCAGGTTTCAGATCAAGATGTAAGTGACATTTACTATAACCCACCTGCAGCCACAGGGTGCTGGAGTTTATCCTGGAAGTATTTCTCTGAAACATTTAGGTAAAAATGACCTTTTAGCTGATAACATCAATGTTCTAAATCATAGTTAAAATAAAAAACTGAGCAAACCATTTAAACCGTCTTATTTCTTAGATTAATTTTCATCGATTTCAGTTTTCTGCTCACTGAGGCACTCGGCTTAAATTCGCTTTTCTAGAAAGGGGTGCAGATTGCCTTCAAAATAAAAGCAGTAAATTTGGAGTCTTGGCCAGTTGTGACCCATGGGTCAGAATATTGTTTTGTAACGTTGGAAAACTCTTTTCTCCCTTTTAGCCATTTACATGCTGGAGCTGGATGGACGGGCGTGGGCGCTGTGAGCAACGGAGGCATAGTGGAGGCTGGCCAGGGAGTCAACGGGACAATGCTAACCAACCAGGCAGGCATGAGCACCACTGGATACCCCACCCACTGATCACAGCAGCCCCCTCTTAGCGTCCAAGGACACAAGGATTATACTCTGCTGGGGAAAGGAGTGCACCAGATGTGCTCTGACTTTCACATCACAAATTGTCTGTTAATGAAGCTGGTCTGCCATTTTTCTTTTCTTTTTAAACCAGCCCAAAGTCTCACCCACTGCCCAAATCAGCAGGTTGAAGGATGATACACATGCAAACACTGACAAAGCCACTGCTAATGCACATTGCATTCCTTGGCCTGTTCTAATGGCTTGGTGTCTTCATGGCCAGAAAAAAAAAAGAAATCTGTCAAGATATTTCTTACAGAAAGTTTGGTTTAAAAGCAAAACGAGTGTTAAGTGAATTGAATCGAAGCTAAAAAGGAAACCTTCCTGTTTCAGCCCCTAAAAGCCAAAAACATGAAGGGCAGAATTTTCTCACTATCTACCAATCAACCACGGAGGACAGGCAACAAACGCTTCCACTCAGTAATCTCCAGTATTGCAACACAGCCACTCCACGTACCGACTAGCTGATCCTTTCTTCTGCGTTGAAGCTTGTCGATCTCATCGTTGCTCTGTCCACTCATCACTGTAGTGAAGCAGCAGAAGTGGGTTCTCAGGGTGCGCTCAAGGTATTCTAACCAACTGTAGTGGTTAGCAGGTTGGGGGAAGGGATGGGTTACAGCTAAACAATCGGAAAAAGAAAACACCAGTGCTCCTTTATGTCCTGGACCGGACGGAACAGACGGCGAAAACTCACCCCAGGATAAGAAGTGTGTGTTTGTGTGTGTGTGCATGAACTGATGCTTTTATTCACAGAGAAACGTCCCCGTCATCTACCCCAAAACCCAGAAGGACTATTATGCTATTTTATTTCTTTCCTCTTTTTCAGAGGGTTTGCTACAAAACTGCTAGAGAAAGGTGTTTTTATTTCCATTTTTTTTTTTTTTGTTCTGGTCAACCTAAAATGCTGACATTGTATAAAGAGCTTTTGCATTTTTTTTGTTTCATTTCAGGAGTGAAGAATTGTTAAAGCGATGCCATCTAATCATGTACATTCAAGACCCTTGTATGTTTTGTTTGGACAACTTTAAGTGGCTGATTTTCTTTTAATTAGTATATCTCAAAACAATTGCAGGGATTACTGCCACTCTTATCTTGTGTACAGGCAGACAAAGATTGCACAAAACGTATAGTTTTCACAAAATTTGAAGTACTCAAATTTTTATTTTATTTTTTTTTTGCATTCCACTTTATCTGCTATTTTATTTGGAAGCCTGTTATATGTAAATAGCCAACCAGTCTGTTAAATTGTACTAAATCTGTATAAAGACATGTTCAATGAGAATGCGTGCTTGCTCCTGGTTGGGGGAAACTGATCCCGGGCGGCTGGTTGAAAGTAGCATCTCTGTCCGTTTCTGGTCCGTATGCAGTAGAGGAAGAGCAACATTTCACTCGTCCAGCAGACTGGAGGACAAGCAGCATTGCTATGTAATGCAGAAGTCTTTAGATTCAAGAAAAGAAACAACTTTATAATTTAAATTATTGTTTTACACCATTGTAGTGGTTGTTTTTATAGATCAAGAACCCTACTTCTAGACCTCAGATTTTTTGCAGCTTGTCTACAGTTATGTCAATAGAAATTAGGGGGAAAAAAATCTATTTTGTTGCCTTATAAAGTTGAGTTATTTTTAATTTAACCAAAAAAAGAAAATGAGTAGGCAGTGCCTATGAATGTTTTCAGCCTACGTTTTGAGAAGAGAAGTTCTGTTCATACATCAGTAACATGGTTTGTGTTTTTTTTTTTTTTTTTTTTTTGCTTTGTCCCATTAAAAAAGCTGATGTTTATAACAGCTCCCATTTACTCTGTTTGCTTCTCTTCTTTGGAAACGGCAGTCATTTTCCACCCAGCAGTTATTTATTTACAGTTTGCCTCCCTATAAGTGGAATAAAAAAAAAAAATAAGAATTTAGTCTAGTTATTAGATGATCGTTAGTTGTACATTTAAGGTTTAGAGCAGGGAACCTGCAATGCATACTTCCTCACAGCCCAGCGGAGATGTTTGGTGTTTGTAGTTCTTTTTTGCACACAGCCCTTCTAAAAGAAATGGTTTGAGTGTCTAGATAGATTTGTGCAAGTATTCACTGGTAACTAAACATTTTTCAGTTCAATCACATGTAACCCTGCAGTGCTGTGTAAACTGGAAGGTTTTCCATATTTAAACATCTCGATGGTACAATAAGATTTTTTGCATATCCTTTTTGGTGCCTTTTGCTGCTTTGGTGAACTTTCATCCATCAATATTTGGTGCTTAAAAAAGTGGACGTTTTAGAGATTTCATGAGCTGCAATTGGGCAGAGATGGAAAAGTTTGAAATCGGAAAAGGACGACATGGAGTGCGGGACAGTTTCAGTTTATTGGAATAGACTTCGACTGGTTTTAATAAAAAAGGATTCTGGTTTCAGTAGCTTATAGAGAACAGAGGGCAGAGTTAAAGCAAGATTCCATTAAAGATGAACGTTACAATATAAAAAGATTTATAGTACAAAAAAGCTCTAAAGTTGTTATGTCATGAAATGTTTATAGAACTATCTGCATAGTAGACAGCTGAGGGAGCACTACACAGTAGTTGACTTGCGAAGTAGTAGTTAGGATTACATTTGTCTATATGTAATCTAAGATTACAGGGATCCAGCATGTTTTCATCAATTCAAAAATATATTATTAATCCCCAAGGAAAATGAAATATTGCACTAATTACTGTAGGCAGGAAAGATCTTCTGTTGTCGGGCTGGCGCTGGATCAGGAGAAGCTTCTTACTGAAGACACTGTTGTATAACAATCTTCTGAAGACGATGCTCGCTGTTGTCCATAATGGTTCACTTATGAAGAATTCTTCTTTGGCAAATCATCTTTTTTTTTCGTTCAGTTAAAAATCTAACATAGTAGCATATAGAAAAAACAAGTTTTAACCATTTTGATTTGAATCAGTCTTAAAATTGTCTTTTTTTTCATAGCCTGTCTGACCCAGCTTTGTCTTACTTCCAGAGCATTTAAATTCAGACAGAACTGCCGTCCTGTCCTAAAAAGTAAGCAGATGCTCTGTGTACTTTTACCCCTCTCTTCCCTACTCTGTATTATTTTCATTTTTTTTCTGAATAACTATGACCTGGATGACTGAGAATCTTCACCAGCATATTCCCTACTTTTCCATTTCACAACAGATAATGTGATTCACTATGGCAACAGCAGGACAAAAGGCTCTAAGAGCTCATTGTGTGGACACAGATGCAGCAGGGCAGAGGGAACGAGGAGAGGTGGGTGGAGTCCTTCAAAGGAATGCCCTTTTATTGGTGTTCCTGTGGCCCAAAAGGGCATGGTCAATGGGCTTATCATCCAGACTTATTTGATTTTACATACAAAATATATATTAGATTTATGATCAATATGCAACAGTCATATAGAAATTGCTAAAGAAAATATAGCTATAATATTCAGATATAGATTTAACAAAAAATTTGTATCGAAGTGTAAGGAAAAAAAAGCTTTAAATTTGAAGATGATGCAGTAAATGTGTTTGACAATGTATTTTTTCTGCTACCCATAGTATTTCGTCATGCGGTTAGTTGCAATATAACAGGCAACAATTAATGATGTGATTCTCCCAAAATAATTTGAATGTGTAGCAGGCCATCTTCGCACTGCTAATATTAAATTCAATTCAGTTTATTTACGTGTCTGAGATTAAAGTCAGAATTCTGAGAAATAAAGTAAGAATTCTGAGAAAAAAAGTCAGAATTCTGAGAAATAAAGTCAGAATCCTGAAATTAAAGTCTCAATTCTGACTTTTTTTTTTTTTTTATCATATAATGAAATACAATTTAAAAATCGGTTAACTTTTTCAGTGGCCCTAATTTTCTTCCGTGCAGAAGTTTTACCATTTTGGTTTATATTTAAGAACATTACATATAGGAAACGTGAGATACTGTCTCTGGACTTTTCTTTTTTTATTAAAACGCGACAACTCAAAAGAAAAATGCATTTAAAGGTTTAGCATCTCTCCGCCTTTTATCTTGAATTAACTACATATACCATGATTCCACGGGCCCAAACTGCGCGCCCCTGTCCTTTCTCCCACGTGACAGGCTCCGTCCAATAGGAAGGGCCGTTACAGGCGCAATGCGGGTGTTTGGATGTAAGGAGGAATGGCGACGTTCAAGGCGTTCTAGGAGGCCAGAGCGAAGCTGAATCCGACCAAACAGAGGCGGTTAGAGCTTTTTTTCAATATTCATACAGATGTAGGTAAGGTAGACCGTATGGTTGCAAAAAAAAGTTCATGTAGCATCATGAATATGCTTATTACACGTAAAGCACTCGGAACACGGAGCTGAAGATGGAAGGACGTATTGTCATTTAGTCATTTATTTTATGATACAAAGTTTTTAAAAGGACAATTTAGAGCAAAAGGTGTTCGTTGTTCTCTGTGTGTATTTGGATTGATGACGACACAAGAAGTACTACAGTAAGGACCTGATAAATATAGATATAATAAATCAATTCAAGGTAATTTTAACAACAAAAAAAGACACTAGAATTGAAGATTTTCACTAGTAAAGTAACATTACTTGACATACCTTTTAATTTTCCTTTAATATTCTGTGCTAATATGCCTAATTTTCCTCTCCTGGTAAAAACCATTAATATTTCTGTTTGAAGTTTTCCAGTTAATGGCTTTCCATAGTTATTCACCACTAGTAATTAGCCAGTCACTGGCGACTGACTGGTTATAATACTACTAATAATAATAATTTAACTTTACTGATCTCACATTGGGGAGATTTACCTCTGTAGTCTAACCTCAGGCTACTTAAATGTTATATAATTTCTCTCTTTCTAACTATAGGATTTATAAGGTTTCTCTTCAACTACAGTGTGCCTAAAACAGTTAATCGTGATTAATTGCTTATTGAAATTATCGTCAACTAATTAATCATTAAACGGAATACAGAGGGTCTAAAAGATGCCTATAGCTGACAGAACGACCCACTTAGAGCAGTAATTATACCAAAATTGCAAAACAAACAAACAAAAAAAAAACATAGAAACATTTGTTTGTAAATATGTTTTGTCCTTTAGTTTAATTTCTGTAAAAAAATAAATAAAGAAAGAAATAAAAAATAAAAATCCTCTTTAAGGAATGTTTTGCTAACCAATTATTTATTGAAAATCTAATCTACAGATTAATCGAAGCAACAAGGTCATTAGTTGCAGTCCAAAACTACAGATACCATAACTGATTAAAGTCTGAAGTTTTAATGTAAATATTACATTCATATTGTCCTGATCAGCTTTGATATCAAAAACTTCAATCTAAAATGGTAAATGATGTATTGTGTCGCTCTAAAAATAAAAATAAACACCTTTTAAACAAAAATTTTAATTAAGAATAGGCAAAAAGGGTGCGTTGATCTACTGGTCAGAGCAGTGCGCTTGTGCTCTGAGAAGGTTCGATCCCCACAGCCTGCACTTCTGGTTCCTGAGCAAGACCCTTAACCCCCACACTGCTCCCCGGGCGCCACACAATGGCCGCCCACTGCTCCCCAAGGGGAGGGGTTAAATGCAGAGAGTGAATTTCCTCCCTTTTTTTTTAATCTTTTCTCCTTTTTTTCTGTCTTTCCTTTCCTGTTCTACTTACATTGCAGGGTCTATATAATCTGTAATACTCCCTGCATGAATTATAATAAAGCAATTTATATGCATGAATCAAGCGGAGCACTATCGCGATAGCCGCACTACTCCACTTGTGAAAGTTAAATCTGTTGGGCCCTTTTTTGGCATCATGACAATTATTATTATTGCCACATTGCCAGACAGGACACTGTAAAAAAAAAAAAAGAGTGAATTTCCACGTTGTGTGACAATAAAGGGATTTACTTTTACAGAACTAGAAAGCAGAACAATGAAATGAATAAATAAATTGCTTTATGGCAGTCTATATGACAACCAAAATGTCTTTAGGGTACAGTTTTCCTGATTATTGTAATAAAATCATGATGAACATGCGAGACAAACTAGCTAAAGGCAGTTTGATATTAGAGACTGATGTTTCTGTTATCTCAACATTAAAACCTTTTTCTTGTTTTCAAGGCATGATTCATCTATTGTGCAGCTGAAGTCTTCTGTTAGAAGTCTCAGAATGGACAGAGAGGTGACCTCGTCCTCTTCAGGAAATATCTCGTCCTCCTCCCCTCAGATTCCTCCCGGTCAGACCACTTTAGCTGCAAAGCAGCGAGAAAGCAGGAAGTCCTCGGCCACCACCCCTGCCTTTCTCTCCAACCTGGGGAGGGCAACCCTGCGGGGCATTCGCAAGTGTCCTCAGTGCGGCGTCTACAACGGGACCCGCGGGCTCAGCTGCAAGAACGCAGCCTGCGGCGTTAGGCTCAGAGATGCTTCTGCAGGATGTAAAAGCAGCAAGAGAGGCACAGTGGAGGTGGTGAGGGTGATAACTGACAGCGAGGAGGCGAGTTGTGGGAAAGAGCAGGAAGCCGGAGGAGGTGCCCAGGTGTTTTCGGTGTGCCACAGAGGCAGAGGAAGCACTCAGTGGGGGTTTGTGGAGCTGGTCCCCACAGACACGGCCATAGCGACCGGGGATGGAGCCACCCTGCTCACCCGCATCAACCTTGGCCGCTGCTTCCTGCCCTCCTGCAGACAGGGTGAGAGGTCAAACAGGCGCGAGTCCAATTCAGCATCAGGTGAGCAGTCCTCCAACAGCCTCTGCATCCATATCAAACAGGCCATAGACTGCCGGAGCCGTGCTACGCCCCTCACCTTTAAGAGCTCCGTGCTGGAGGCTTTGCAGGCATCCATCCAAGCCAGAGAGGAGCTGTGGAGGCTGGCCACAGAGTTCCCCGGACCTCTGGTGCAGCGGGTCTCCAAAGACACCCTGGTGGTGAAGTGCCACACAGACTCGCAGCATCCTCTGGGCCTGCTGCACCTCACCGTGGCTCAGGTGGACACACTAAAGAGCAACAAGAAGGTCTTTCATTGTACCTGCCAGTTGAGCGCAGGGAGAGTCAAACCCGGCGTGAACGGAGCCGCCCCGCTCCCTCCCCCTCCTCCTCCTCCGAGCCCAGCCACATCCCTACCCTGCCTTCATTTCTACGCCTGCGTGTGCGCCTTCTCAAGCAACGAGAAGCTGGCTGCAGAGTTTGCAGCGTTCATCAACTACACCTCAAAAGGTACAGAATCTCCCCTTCTGCCTGCAGTAATTAGCATTAAGAAAGGTCCTGGAATAAATTTAGAATTAGCATAATCTCATAATGACAGTCTTAATTTAAGTTAGTCTTAATCTAACTTGATTTGATCAAATATATGAAGTGGGTAAGAAAACGCTAAAGAAAAAGGATTCAGGAAATGCCTGGAGAATTATTTTATTTTCAGGTCAGAATAAGATTTTCCTTAAAAATAAAAAACTAGTAAAAAGGTTTGCTTTAATTATTTATTTTCCATATTCTGTAATCTAAATGATAAATGGGTAGATGAACATTTTTGTCTGTTTTCTATGAAATGTTACACCTCAAGCTAAAGTTTTGTTCATGTTATTGTTTTTTTTTTACTAAATTAAAGATTAAAGGTTAACTAAACATAAGAAAATGACAAAGGTGCATTCAGAGGTTAATTTTGGCTTCTAGATCTTCATAGATCTAGAACAGACCAGATGTGTCCTTGTGTGTGTTTGAAAACTGGATCTGATGTAGCATCACGCAGAGCACCTAATCTCCTAATGTTTTACCTCCAGGAACAAAATAAAAACATCACAAATTAACAAATATACTTTATTTTGTATTAAATCAGGTTTCAAATTTGGTGTTATTGTAGAATCTAGATTTGATAAGCATTAAATTAACAAATCTGCATATTTTTGTTCTGGTACAGGTAATTACCAAAACTAAACAATGTTATTTTTCACACTGTAATATTTGTATTACAGGGAAACAGGAAGTTATGGATTAACCTGCTGCAGACTCACTAATTTAAAACGCATAAAGTCTAAATTAGGAAATTTTTAATTGATGTTGAAATGCATATTTGTCCTTTTATTCAACAAAAAGGTATTTTCTAATACGGGGTATTTTTCATCAGGTTTAAAGTCCTGCAATAATGATTGATCCCACTTTGAAACCTCGGTTCATATTTCCTGTGAAATATGTTAAGATCGCAGCTAATTTAACATTTTTTGTCTTTCTCTCCTCAGGTGAGCAGCAGAACGCCGTCGGCGACAAACCTCTGCAGCAGGCAGACTCCATCAACGCCCAGCATAAAGCGAAGAAGCAGCGTTTGGATGAACCTGCCTCTGGTGATTTTTTCATAACACTTTTTAAACTATCTGACATAAAGCATTGAAGCCTGGTTGATCCTGGTCTGAACCTCCCGCTGTCCTCCCTTCTCTATTTCTTTTTCTCTTTCTAAACCTGTCCTTTCTTACCTCCACCACTCTGATGCTCCTCTCAGCAGCCCCTCCCTCTGCAGAGTGCTGGAAAGACGGAGTGCCGGCCTCCGGCGCGAGGAAAGCCGGTCAGAGGAAACCTGCAGGTGCTGCCTGTCTCTCCTCTCTGGCTGTGTTTTCCTGTTTCCTGTCTTTTCCCATCCCAATCTTTCCCTTTCATCCATTGAATTCTCTCCACTAATGAGCTGCCAATCAGACCGTCGATGATTTAACACGTGATTCGTCCTCCTCAGGCGGCGCTCAGGTTGTTGATGAGCGCACAGTGACGATGGGCTTCCAGCGGTGGCTAGCCAGTGTGACTGAGAGGATCCATCAGACGATGCACTACCAGCTAGATGGTAACATTTGCATGAAACACCTTGTATGATTAGCAATGTTGAAGTATTCCACATTCATACCCCTTGAATCACATTGCGAACACAAATTTAATGCGTCCATGAGAACTAATGGGATAGACAGACAAACATATTTTGAAGTAAAAGAAGGAAAATTATATATATTTTAATTTAAACAGCCGGAAACATGATGTTTGTATTATTACAGACTTATGAGACTGAATTGTTTCCTTTTTTAAATTAAAACGTTTTTATTTCGCTCCATCCATCTTTCCATAAACTGATTAGCTTGCCTGCAGAAAAGCAGCCGATACTACATGACAGTGGGCCTGATACACACTGGCAGATGTATTGAGTCTATTTTATCAGAGCGCCATGAGGTAGTGTCGCACCACACAGGGTGTGACAATGGTTTCAATGTAGAACCAGTGAAGGATCCGTCTTCTGAATTCTTTTTAAACTACCTCAAGCAGAACATTCCAGCTCTACATGGAAATATTTCACTCTAAAAACACCATGAAGTGACGTGTAATGTTGACAAAGCCTCAATATTCAATGGACTTAAAGGTGCATGGTCACTATTTGATATTTTTTTATTCTTTATATGCCAGTATCTCTCTCTGGTTACATACATTTTCTGAAAGATTACTGCATCCAGCTTGTGTATTCTTTATTTCCGTGTCTATTTTTTGCTCACTTTATTAGTAAATGTTAATAATATCATATCTGCTTTATTTATATTCACAATAACAAAGGAGATGAGATTCTGACCATGTGGACAGCAGGTCAACGAGGATGTAGCCTACTGAGGCTAAGCCAGTTAGCACCTTCCAGCGAAAACAATAAAGAAAAGTTCAAGATCGAGTGAGAAAAATGCAAAGAAATATTTCATTCTAAAAAATTCCTTCCATTTCACAATGTTGTGCTTCTTTTTACTGATCTGTGATGATCACTTTTGTGACTGATGTGTGTAGGGCTGCAACAACGAATCGATAAAATCGATAAAAATCGACTTTTAAAAGCGTTGGCAACGAATTTAATCATCGATTAGTTGTGTCGCGCGATTAATGCGTCATCCGCCGCCGCCGTCATCCGGGGGAAGAAAAAAAAATATGGCGGAGCGAGTCAGCGCCGCAGTTGCAGTGTTGCCAACTCAGCGACTTTTCAGACCCCTCCAGCGACTATTTTTCAAAAAAGCGACTAGCGACAAATCTGGCGACTTTTTACGGTGTCACTGGCGGCTTTTGCCTGCCGTGGGGCGCCTCCCCCATCCCAACGCCTTTCTCCCTCTCCCACAGGAATCCCTCTCAGCGCGGCAGTCAGAGCCGCAGGATTTTAGTGAGGAGTTTACCCTCAGCGTCCAGACTGCAAATGAAGCGCGCATGCGCCGGGATTGACGGCGCAAATTGATCACAATAATTAAAATAGCCTGCGCTTTGTAAAGTGAAAAAAGTGATAACATGCAACTTTTTGTAAAAACAAATGAACATGGCACGGAAGCACCACTGTTATGACGCAGCACCTGAAAAGAAAACACTTTGGAGCCTTCGATGGCAGTGAAGAGAGCTGATCAGCAGGATGAGTAACCATGTTTGTTTGGTTTTAAAGTGGGGAAACGTAACGTTAGTTTCTCAGGTAGCTCATCTGATGCTTTCCTTGCCTTGTTAGTAGGTTACAGACAGGGATAAGGTTGGCTACTTATTTTACTTTTAATTTCATTTACATTTGTTTAAGCAGCGTTTATATTTTCTTTATAAATAAATTAACTTGCAAATTATGAGGGCAAGGCTTTTAAAGTTTAAATCTTCTGGCAAAGATAAAGAAAAGAAGATCCTGCAATTTATGGAAGTAAAGCAGAATAAAATCCAGCAAGATCAGTAATATGTCAATTAATTATCTGCCACATTCCCATGTAAATATCTGTCTTTGGAGGATGTGTTTTTTTACCACCCCTAGTTCTCTCATTTTTATTCCAAATACAATTTATAATTTGAATCACAGGGCTATTTTTATCTCTATGGTTCAGTATTTTCTCAAGCAGCAACTTTAACTGCTATACTTTCCTGTCTTAAAAGGCAGAACTCTTCTAGTCTAAAAAAAAACTCATTTCTTGAAATGGGGGGACCTATTGTTGAACCCCTTAGGGGCTTTAAAAAACAAAAATGCCTGTCTCTTTTTGCGCTTTATGAACCAAAGTAGCCTATATTTTGTGGATGTACAGCTACATTTCTCATGTAAGTTTGCGTAGTTTTTACACAAACATTTATTTTTCATATTGCACCAGTACAGTTAATGAGCAACCTGTACTTGTGTGCTTGTTTGTTCTGTCTAAAATGTTTATTTTGGAATAAAGAGGTTAATATAAAATTTTTTTTTTGTCCGATTCATCGATTAATCGAAAAAATAATCGGCCGATTCATCGATTTTTAAAATAATCATTAGTTGCAGCCCTAGATGTGTGTCTCGCTGGAAAATAAGTCAATCTTAGGAAGATTTTGTTTTCATTATAATTTCTTTATTCCCACTTTGTGTCTCAGGTTTTATAGATAAGCAAGTAATAAACCAACAGGATTTGATGGCATTAATGTTAAAATCTAATGAAAATATCTCTAAGTTTAATTTGTTTTCTATTTAGACCCATACTGTGCTGGTTTATACCAGTGTACCTGACATGTGCATCCAGTAGAGGGCAGTGTAGACAAACATTTAACATGGTTTGGGTCATTGAAATTTATTTTTGTAATAATAGAAATATTTATTCTGAAAGTCTAGATTTTATTGCCTAAAGTTAATCTAATGGTTAATTTAGATTAAACCCACATTTTTAGCATATTAAAATCAAATATTTCCAAAAATGAGGTGAAAGGGTCGAGCTTTGGTCAAAGACCCAGAGACCCTTTTAAGGTGTGGTTTAGTTATGGTTTTGGATTCATCTCTTATTGTTAGGTAAACCACATCCACTAGTCTACCAGATCCCCCAGGAGTTCTTCAACGCTCTACAGCAGCGGCTGTCGCTAGGATCCAAGAAGAGAAGACTGCCCAATTTCACGACAAGTGAGTTTTTTTTACCATATTGAACAGAAAGGCTGTACATAAAGCTGCTGTGTAGGGCTACAGTGCTTTACCAACGTATTTATGCCTATAGCGCTCGTTTACACTTTTTTGCACAAATTAAAAATTTAAGTGAGATATTTTAATGCAATTTTAAGGGGCTGCTCAGGTTCAGGTCTTTTTGCAAGGAGTTTGCATGTTCTCCCTGTGCATGCATGGGTTCTTTCTGGGTACTCCGGCTTCCTACGACAGTCCACTGTTAGGTTAATTGGCTTCTGTAAATTCTCCTTAGGTGTGAGTGTGTGTGTGAATGGTTGTTTTTCTCTGTGTTGCCCTGCGATGGACTGGCGACCTGTCCAGGGTAGGCCTCATCTCTCGCCCGTAGACAGCTGGAGATAGGCAGCAGCACCCCTCTCGACCCCAGCAGGGATAAAGCATGATAAAAAATGGATGGATGTATTTTAATGCAATTTTATACAACAGAGAAGCAAGTTTTAGTATATGAATTCTGTCTTCACTGTGGAGGACGGTAGTGGCAGCATCATGCTGTGGGGAGCCTTTATCAGCATGCATTAGACTTCAGTTTAGGCCGGGTGGTTAATTAACCTAAATATACAGCTAAATCTGTAGCACCAACAGTTGGAATGGCCTAGTCAAAGTCCAGGCCTTAATCCATTTTAGAGTCTTTGGCAAGACTCTGAAATACATCTGTTGAGTTTTATATATATTTTTAAACTATATCTTTGAAATAATAAATAAATAAATAAATAAATAAATAAAAAATAAATAAATAAAAAAACTATATCTTTCAATGTGAAAAGCAGGAAGAGAAACACTCCAAAAGATTAGCTTCTGCAGCCCCTAGTGAAGGAGGTTTATAGCGAGTACTGACTAGAGAGGGGCTGAGGGGGGAAAGAAATGGCAATCTTTTCAAAAAGTGATGATTAAACTTTATTAAAATGTTCTGTCTCTGTGGAGTTCAGCATCTGTGAGGAAAAACGAGGCTCCTCTGGGCTATTTCACCAAGTACACCTGGCACATCACCAACCTGCAGCATGTCAAACAGATTTTCGACACGCCTGAGGTATGTTCTAAAGACCAAAAACAAGTGAAAACACTTCCTGGAACTTTATACAAAACATTAAATATTATGTAGATTATTTATGCGGTAAATTTGGTTTCATTAGTGCTGCAAGCAAAGAACATGTTTGTAAATGGAAATATGGAAAAAAAAGGAATCAAGAAATGAAATTTTAAGAAAAATTATAATAAAAAAAGGTTTTGTGTGTAATTTTGCAGTTTTTTTTTTTAATATTTTACATCTTTTACTTTTTTCTCTTCAAATTTCAGTTTTCATATTGAGTTTTATGACTTGCAGTCAGATCGAACTTTCTTCATATCTTTTAGAAATGCTTCTCCTGAGCGAAGACGCATTTCTATTGGTCTGGATGTACGTTAGCAACAACGTGTTATTGGTCAAGAGCGTTTGTATTGCGCTGCAAGTGAAGAGAATGTGTAATTTATAAAACTCATTCTGGAACAGAAATAAAAAAAGAATAACTTCAAAATGTAAAACCTGTGAAAGAAAATTTATAAAATAAATTTAAAACATAAAATCAGTATGTTTTGTTTGTGATAAAAATAAAATTGGAAAAAAAGAAACAAAATAAAAGGATTTAAGTAAAATCTGAGAAAGCAGCAACGTTATTTCAAACCCCACTTTTTTTTTTAAAGTTACATTTTTTTCAAAATGAAATACAATTTTTTTCAAAATTAAATAAACATTTTTTTTAAAGTTTCCATTGACAAAACGTCTTCACTAGCAACAAAAACAAACACTATTTAATTCATAATTTGGTTAAATTATGAGTTATTCTCTTGTTTATTCAAAGCTGTTAGCCACCATTTTCCAATGAGCAGCCTAAGATCTAATGATCTGTCCAACAGCTTCCATTAGAAGTCACTCAGAGCTTTGTCAAGAATCTGGACGGCTCTTACTCCCACTTTAACCTCCCTGAGTCGCCGCCTGAGAGGGAATTGACAGACGGATGCAGGGCGGACCGTCCCCAGGCCATACGACCAATGGAGCACCGCACTTTCCTCAAAGTCGGTACGTGTCTCCCTTTAATTCCATTCTCTTATTTTGTTTTAAATTCCCGACAGAAAATGCTTTTTTTCTGCTTGTTTAAAAAAAAAAAATTCTCCACTTCCTTTGTTCGTTGCCAGGACCAAACTCTGGGGACCAGAAGGAGTCCAGCCCCTTCGTGATCCAGTGGATCCCTGACGTTCTGCCGCGCTGCCAGATGGGAGAGCTCAGGATCAGCTTTGAGTTCGGCCACCAGCAGAGCGGCCAATCAGAGTGTCAGGAAAAAGCGGAGAAGAAAGCTCGCAGAAAGTCTGACTGTTCTCAGAACAAAACGCTAAAGGACGTTGAGATTCTTCAAGTTGTTCTATAACAGCAGGACATTCAATAACTAGATAATACGACGAACCCCGCGCAGACATCTGTGTTCCCTTCCAATGAATCTATGCAGAGTGTGGAGACAGAAGCTACCAGGCAGCATCAGTGGTCAGAGGACTGAAGCTCTGTGTTTCCAGCATCACTGACTGTGCTTCTTTCTCAGATGGAAAAAAAACTTCACTGATGAACAGAATCTAGAGATGATTTTCTGGCACAAACATCTTGGGTGAATTATTGGAAAAAAACAAAACAATACAATAAAAGTAAAATTTTTTCTAACTTTGAATTTGAAACTTTAGGTTTTAATAATTTCTTATTGAGCAAATAATTAGGATTCACACGGGCGGTTCTAGGAAGGGATCGACATAAGATAACGGAAAAAAGGACAGGATTTTTTCTTTTAAATAGACATTTTCTAAATTTTGGGATTATCGTCTGATAAAGAGTACATTTATATACATGTTCAAGCTAGAATAACTTGACATTTAAATATTATTTCCCTATGACTTTAATATACAGAATGATGAATTATTGTCTTATTTTTTTTACTTTATGCCCTGAAAAAAAAAAAAAACACGCCTCCCACTCCGGTAAACTTGGTCTATAACTCCCCCCTTGTTGAAATCATATCCAGTTGTTTCCAGCTGCTGTTGGTGACCTATCAGGTGAGCTAGTTTTTGGAGAGTCATCCAGTATATCTGCAATAACCAATAACAGATTCCCCTGGTCTCTGAGTGATGCTGTGCGTCTTTTTTTTGTCTTCCTTCCTGACGGATCCCTTTATTTAAAATCTCTTTAAAACTCTGCAAAAGCTGATTACTGGTGAAGAACATGCTAGCAGGACATCTGATGTTTTTCTGAGCTTAAATCTGTCTGTAAGAAGAATAAATCCTGCCGGTCAGTTTGTCAAAATGAGCTGTAATTAGGCCGTCATGCTGACCTTGGAAATTATGGTTTGGAAACACATTTAGTTCCTTCTTTTCACATATATACACACAATGTGTCTGTTAGAGGACTTAGTAAATGCTGTGAAAACGTGTGGATCCAGGTTGGGAGCCCCTTTAACCAGACCTCAACTCCTCCAAACGGCAGATCAAACTGATTTATTTCTCTCCCTTCGTCTTCCCTCATCTTACTTTTAGTTCTCTTATCAAAACAAACGTGACAAAAGCTGGACGGAAAAACCAATCTGACACAAAGCAGAGAGCGGAGTCAGAGGAAGAATTGGGAGCTGTTTTGTTTCATCTGTTTTTTTTTTTGCACTTCATAATTTGCAGCCGTTGCTGGGCTGCAGGTGGCGAATTGCAACATCATAGTGTTTATATCCGACAGTCTGCCTGTTTAAGATGTTAAAACGAAAGAAGAGAGGATGATAAAGAACATCTGTAAATTGTTTGTCTTTGCAAACTTCTGTCCTCAATCTGTTAAAACCTTCTTCTACATCAAAACATTAATTAAGGGAAGTATTTCTCTGAGTCTGCACAATGAAGTTCTCTCTAAGACATTAGCACAGAATAAATAGAATAAGTCAAATTATAATTAAAGGCAGTTTGAAGAAGATTTATAATCTCATTTGTAGTCTAATTTGTTCAACATCAGATTGGTGAACACTGTTTTCTGTCCACTTTATGCTAGCATCAATATCAAAACAATTTATTTCCAGCTTTGTTGGCAGTTTAAAAGGAGAGGTGAGCTTTTACTAACAAAATTAATAATAAGCTGTTTGAAAAAGCTCTGTTGGAGGTTATTATTTATCACAATGCTGCAGCCCAAGGCTTGTTGGAAAATTCATTTTTACATCACACAAACAAACAATTGAATCATATTTTCTTATTTGGATATAAATAAGATTTTTTATTAGTCAGAAACTGACTAGTCTCTTTTAACTGGAAGCTTTTATTCCACGTTCTATAAAGAGTGTGTAATACAGTCAAAGTGAAAACACGAGGATCTGCTGTACGTCCTCCACGGCTGCTCCTGAGACAAAAGAAAGCTTCTCTTTGTTTTCCACAGCTGTTCAATGGCTTTTTAAGGTCAGTAAAAAAAAAAAAAATTAAATGAAATAAAGGGGAGAAAAAAAAAAACATTCTTGAATTTCATCTTTTTTTTACCCAGTTAATTTATACATTTGAAATTAAATTAAAGAAAATATGGAAAATTTTAAGTAGATGTGTTTAAAGGAACATTTTTTTTTTTTACTAAAACGCATGAGAAAAACAAAAATTACATTTACTGTATATACACTACCGTTCAAAAGTTTGGGGTCACATTGAATGTCCTTATTTTTTAAGGAAAAGCACTGTACTTTTCAATGAAGATAACTTTAAACTAGTCTTAACTTTAAAGAAATACACTCACATACATACATACACACATATATATATATACATACACATATATATATACACACATACATATATACATATATATATACATACATATATATATATATATATACATACATACATATATACACACACACACACACACACATACATTTAGAAGTTTGGGGTCACATTGAATGTCCTTATTTTTGAAGGAAAAGCACTACTTTTCAATGAAGACAACTTTAAACTATTCTTAACTTTAAAGAAATAAACTCTATACATTGCTAATGTGGTAAATGACTATTCTAGCTGCAAATGTCTGGTTTTTGGTGCAATATCTACATAGGTGTATAGAGGCCCATTTCCAGCAACTATTACTCCAGTGTTCTAATGGTACAATGTGTTTGCTCATTGGCTCAGAAGGCTAATTGATGATTAGAAAACCCTTGTGCAATCATGTTCACACATCTGAAAACAGTTTAGCTCATTATAGAAGCTACAAAACTGACCTTCCTTTGAGCAGATTGAGTTTCTGGAGCATTACATTTGTGGGGTCAATTAAACGCTCAAAATGGCCAGAAAAAGAGAACTTTCATCTGAAAATCGACAGTCTATTCTTTTTCTTAGAAATGAAGGCTATTCAATGCGAGAAATTGCTAAGAAATTGAAGATTTCCTACAACAGTATGTACTACTCCCTTCAGAGGACAGCACAAACAGGCTCTAACCAGATTAGAAAAAGAAGTGGGAGGCCGCGTTGCATAACTGAGCAAGAAGATCATTAGAGTCTCTAGTTTGAGAAACAGACGCATCACAGGTCCCCAACCGGCCTCTTCATTAAATAGTACCTGCAAAACACCAGTGTCAACATCTACAGTGAAGAGGCGGCTGCAGGATCCTTGGCTTCAGGGCAGAGTGGCAAAGAAAAAGCCACATCTGAGACTGGCCAATAAAAGAAAAAGATTAAGATGGGCAAAAGAACACAGACATTGGAAGACTGGAAAAAAAGTGTTATGGATGGATCACAAAGAAGAACGTTTGTGAGACGCAGAACAAATGAAAAGATGCTGGAAGAATGCCTGACGCCATCTGTTAAGCATGGTGGAGGTAATGTGATGGTCTGGGGTTGCTTTGGTGCTGGGAAGGTAGGAGATTTGTACAGGGTAAAAGGAATTCTGAATAGGGAAGGCTATCACTCCATTTTGCAACGCTATGCCATACCCAGTGGACAACGCTTGATTGGAGCCAATTTTATCCTACAACAGGACAATGACCCTAAACACACCTCCAAATTGTTCAAGAACTATTTAGAGCAGAAGCTGTCAGCTGGTATTCTATCGGTAATGGAGTGGCCAGCGCAGTCACAAGATCTGAACCCCATTGAGCTGTTGTGGGAGTAGCTTGACCGTATGGTAGGCAAGAAGTGCCCATCCAACCAATCCAACTTGTGGAAGCTGCTTCTGGAAGCGTGGGGTGCAATTTCTCCAGATTACCTCAACAAATTAACAGTTGGAATGCCAAAGGTCTGCAATGCTGTAATTGCAGCAAATGGAGGATTCTTTGACCAAAGCAAAGTTTGATGTAAAAAAAAATCTTGTTTCAAATACAAATAATTATTTCTAACCTTTTCAATGTCTTGACTCTATTTTCTATTCATTTCACATTTATGGTGGTGAATAAGTGTGTACTTTTCAGGAAAACACAAAATTGTTTGGGTGACCCCAAACTTTTGAACGGTAGTGTATATATCTATAATTAATTAATAATAAAAGAAGGAACAACATTCACAGAATACTTTTGTATTTTTATACCTTTGTAGGATGCACATATATAAAAAAAAATAAAATAAAATATATATATCTATATATATATATATATATAGATATATATATATCTTCATAAGTTAACGATGCTCAAAGGAGCGAAAGCTTAAGAGGAAAAACAAAAAACCTTTTTTAAACAAATTAGTATATTTCTATATAGTAAAAAGACGACTTTTTATATCGTTTGAAATATATTTATAAAAACCTGCTGAAAAAATAATTAAGGCCTTTCTTGGGAGATAAATACTACACTTCCACATAAAAAGCAGCTTTATCTTGTTTTATAGAAATTCAACATTTAAATATATGGTAATTATATCATAACTTGTTGTATTAAAATTTTCATCATATTAGTTTTTACAGATGACAGTAATCTAACATCTGAAAATAACTTAACTGATAAGCGCCTTTCATTTGCTTTTATTAAATTTCATTTTCATAAAATCTGCCTCTTCAGAATAAAATAAGCTTTGCCAGTTTTCACCAGCAGATGGCAGCAAACAGCTACTACACAACTGAGAGCTGACAGCAGAGAAGCACAGAAGGCCTAATAGGAGGTGATTAGTATGATTTAATAGGATGTTTTCTTAATATTTAGTAATGAGAAACTACAGAATAAATTCCAGATTTAACTTCGTCTTGATATATAATGTGAGTTGGCTGAGTTTAGATTTTTTCCCCTCCCGTCTGGACATAATAAAACAGCCAGCGTGCACAGACTGTGTGATACATCACTGAAAACATCACATGCTTCCAAAATGTGCCCAAATGTTCACGAATTAATTAAGATTACAAGTTAATACCATGAGCAGAGAACAACAAATTAGATGCACAGCTCAGAAAAGCAGCTCACACGTTGCTCCTTTACATGAGGGGTGTGGGCGTAAAAAACAGAAAAATAATATAGTGCCAGCTCATGGGCCCCCTCTTCCCTCGCAAGGCCCCCAGGACATATCAGTGTGAGTACAGCCTCTGCCTGTGCAGGGGGCCCGGCTCCCAGACAGATCAGTTAGATGTTTGCGTAGCTTGTCAGTCACAGAGATGGAAGACGCATCAATCCTCTCCTGGAAGGAGAAGCGTGCACATTCTGGCACAGAGGAGTCCTTCACCAACTGAAAGATGTGCTGGCAAAGCCTT